TTACTGTCAATGTAAAACAAGAAACGCAAACTTACCCAAATATATCAATAAAAAAGTGCTTTTATAAGAAATTCAAGATAAACACTCTGAAAGTGAAAGAAATAAATTTTTTACATCACCTTAGAGGCATTAAAGCCGATACTGGCTCTTACATTTTTTACTTTCTAAACCTAATATAATTTTTAACTAGGCTTATTAACTTTACTTTTTAACTTTTCAATTAGCGTTTTATCTTTTTTCCAACTTACTTTACAGTAGGTAATATATTCAAGAGCTCATCTAATTGGTCAAATGCGACAATAAGATGCACAGCCATGTAGCAGTATCTTTGCTGAATGGCTGGATATAGATCTTGTGTTTCTAGACCTCACTGAGGGACGAAGGGAACTCTGTTTGTAAGGGATCAAAAACGTTAACTTGCCTTATAAAGTGTTAAAGCATCAACCCTAGATTGAGTTCATCTTTCTTAGCTTTTATTGACTTGAATCCTAGAAATGTAAGCAGAGAAGATGCCGTTTGTCAGCTCTATCATGGCGCTACTAGGACCTGGTAACACCTGAGCTCTGCCATCTCACTTCCTGTTCTTAAACCTGCAGTCATTAAACATTTTGTTTGGCTAATTTTTTGTATCTGAAATGTTAGCTTACGTTTCCTATTAACCAAACTCAGTTTGTTGAATCGATGGAGTCCCTCACAGACGGCACCGATCTGGGCCGTCATCATTCTCGCCATCATCTTTAGCGCCCCATTCAGCTGTTATTCCCCCTGAAAGCAGAACAAGCAGCAGCTCGGTTCTTTACAGGCAGGACAAGCTGAACTGAAGTGCCGCTGTGTTCGTCCTCAGAGCCAAATGGACGGAGACGGAGATCGAGATGCTGCGATGTGCCGTGCGTCGCTTTGGAGACGACCTCAACAACATCAGCACTGTGATCAAAGAGCGCACCGTGTAAGTCTTCAGGGAGCAGCTCCTCTCATTCAGGACCTGCTTTAAGAAACCCGTTCAGCAGCAGCTCTGCCGCCAAACCGGGAGGAAACATGGAGGATCGTCATGGTGATAGACGCTATCATTAGCATAAAGCTCTGAGGGGTGTGGACTGGAGGCCTCTGAGCTCCAGGCTGCCGTGATGTTCATGTCTGAGCTGAGGTGTTTAGAGGCGGAGCAGGAAGTTCCACCTGCAGTCGGACGGAGAAGGAAAAACCCGATTATTCAGGTTTAATACCAACGGGTCCAGATTTCCTCACCTGAATGGAGGCTAATAGGATGTTAGCTGGCGACTCATCATGGCTCATGTTGGTCATTCTGTGTCTGATGTCATCTAGTCGGTTTTCTTGATTCTCTGGGCCTCGATTGATGGTTGAACCTGATTGGCTGACGGCCGTTCTTCTTCCTCTGCAGCGCTCAGATAAAGAGCACGGTGAAGCGGAAGCTGTACGAGGACAGCAGGGTCCCCATTTCCACCGAATCGCCCAAGAAAACCGTCAAAAAGGCGTCCGTTCCCATGGCGCCCAGCCCCGCCCCGGCCGCCCCCGCCATGATCAACGTGCCGACCTCGCAGGTCGTCGTGGCAACGGGGATGCAGAACAGCCCGTCATTAGCCCCGCCCATTAAAAAGCAGAAAACGGCAGGTGAGAGCGGGTTTAACCTCTGGTGGTTCTGAGCCAACGATGCGGTTCTGTCCGGGTTCTGATCTTCTTCCTTCCTCCTGCAGACGTGACGCTCAGCGCTCTGAACGACTCAGACGTCAACAGCGACCTGGTGGACATCGAAGGACTGGGAGACGGGTCCTCCAACAAGAAGCTCAACTTTGACCAAGGTTGGTTGAAGATGCTGTTAGATATATGGACGGTTCTGACCCGGTCGGGTTCATGGACGGTTCTGACCCGTTTCTCCTTCAGGAACCCCTGATGACCTCGGCTCTAACCGTCTTCCTCTTGTTCCTCAGAGAGCCTGAATCTGGACTCCAGCCTCATCATGAACTCCAGTGACCTCCCTCTTCTGTCCCGCTGACCTCTGTGCAGAAGCTCCGCCCCCCTTCCTTCCACGCTTTTATTTTGAAGCCCAGCAGCCCGCCAATGTTTGTCTTCAGAACCGTTTTATTGTGGAAGATGACGAGGTCTTCGAGTCGGATTTAGTTTTCAGTTTGAGGCGTCGAGCTGCAGACGATCTTAGGATCTCTGGGTTCCGTCTCCACATTCGGACTCCTTCTTTGACCCGGTTTGTACTGAGAGCCAGATAGAAACCAGCGGTGGGTCTGACAGTCCAGGAGACCGAGCCGGTTCTGATCTTCTGACCCGGTTCTGATCTTCTGACCTCCAGTGAAAATAAAACGGCTGTTTGCATCTAGATGTTCTTCTGTCTATGTTCTTCTCACAGGGATGTTTTTTTTTCTGAACATCTGGAGTCGGTTCTAAAAGGTGAAAATGCTGGAAAAGATCCTCCGTCATTCCAAAAAAAAAAGAAAATTAAAAACAGTCCACTGGACTTTGTTTCCAAGTTGCAAGACGTTTCGCTTCCCGTCCAGGAACTTCCTGGAGTCAAAGACATTTTGAATTGAAGAAACTTCCTGGATTGGAAGCAAAACGTCTTCCAACTTGGAAACAAAGTCCAGTGGACTCTTTTTAGCTCTAGGCCGATATGTTTTCCTCCAGAGGTAGAACCAGAACCATCCCTAAGGATTTCTTTGGATCGACCTGCACCAGGCGGCCCGTCCCGTGGTCCGACCCGGATTCCCAGACGGTTCTCCAGGTGAAGGACAAACCCATTTCAACCCGTTTGAGGTTCTTGTTCTGGACGATCTTCACCAGACCTCTAGCGTTTTTCCTTCTACCAACAAACCCAGAACCTGGGTCCGGTCTGAACTGAGGAGAAAAGGTCCGATTCAAACAAAGACACTGGTTCTGTTTTGTTCAGACTTTATTTTAATGGTAAATTTAATAAACAATATAGATGATATTTATGGAGAACAATAAAAATCCGTCTTATCTGGGCCGACGGAACCAACAGAACTATTTACATGTGCTTCTGGTTCCCTTAGTCGACCCAAACCCAGCAGCCCTTTTTAAACCTGGATCTCACTCTGGAAGACCGGTACCGCTCAGATCCAAAACTATGCTTTTACATTTGGCCCAGACCCGGTTCTGAAGAACCTGAAATCTGAGCCCAACCAGGGAACCACAGACTGACTTTGGGCTTCCAGAGTAAAACGCCTTTAATACTGAAACTGTCTTTGCTACAACATTCGGTTCTGCTCAGAAATGAGGTCCAAACGGACCGTGAGCAGAAGCAGAACAGTAGGTCCGCTTTTTTTCTATTTGGCTTAAAGCTTCTTTGAAGCAGAATCCTCGGGTTCTCCGGCACCAGAACCGACCCACTTCATGGTTCCGTCAGTAACAGAGATGTGCAAATAAGAAAATAATCCACAAAAAGTCGACATAAAGCTACAGAACAGCAACGGTACCACAGAGAGTCCAATCTGCTCCAGAACCTTCCCTTTATAAGCTCTGCTCCAGATCCGGCACCTGGCCCACTCAGAACCAGGTTCTTTGAAGAGGATCGGACTCTCTTGGGATGGTAACCAGGTCAGAAATAAAGCAGGAAGCAGCAAAGGTCCGGTCCAGTTCATGTTCTTTTTGTGGAAATAAAGACACTTGGAAATGTTCTATTCTGGGTCAGATGCTGGCCGGTTCCGGCCGTCTGAATTCCCGCCTTCAGGCACAGCGATGAATGGAAGTAGAAATATGAACAATGCAAAGAGCAAAGGCTGGAAGCTGATCCAGAACCGGGCCAGGTTCTGGAGGCCTCACAGCTCTGCAGTCTATGGGTCCGGCTGAGGTTCACAGGCTTCAGAACTGGACCCGTCGGTTATTACCAGAAACCATCAGCATGGTGGCGGTTCTGACAAGAACCAGGAATATGTGCAAAATCGCTTCAGGTTAGAACTTTTGGGTTTTGGATTCGGAACGCTTTACTCCAAAAATGTCCGGAATCTGGACCGGTTCTGTTTCCATCCGGCACAGCGGGTGGAAATGTTTCCGTTGTCATGGTAACAGAAAGTCCATTCAGCCTCCAACACGGTACAGATACCCTGGATGGAGCACTGTTAAACCCAGCAGAACCTCACCGCTTCCAGCTGTAAAGCACGGCGGCGGCAGGTGGTGATATGGGCTGGTTCTGCTTCAGCAGCAACTGCTGCCAATTGATCCTAGAGTCCATCAACAGATCCAAACAGCAGCAGAACTGCTGCTGAAGAACAGAATCTGGCCTAGTCAAAGCCCAGACCTGGGCTGAGCAGAACCATCAGTGCAGAGCTGTTCTGCTGGGGTTCTACAGGTTTCTGGACCAAGAGGTGGATCCAGGTTTTCAACCAAAAGAAAACGCACCGGGTTATCAGAGACTCAGTACGTTCTGGTGACCATGAATCCTACAGCGCCACCTGTTGTCCAGGCTGCACCGTTACCTCACTGTGGTGGAACTGGGCCGGATCAGAGGGTTCTACGCGTCCAAGTTTGAAATTAAACATCGTCATGGAAACATGAGAGAGGAGAAGACCGAATCGAGTCTACTATGTACATATAGATACATTATTAACACAGGGTCCAGTTCAGAACCAGACCCAGAATGAGCCGTATAGCAAACCAACCCTGAATGGAAGCTTCTCTCAACCTTCTGGAGGCTCCAGCCTCAGCTTTGGTTTGGATTCTGGTTCTGGAAGTCCAGGCAGATCCGGATGCTCTCAGAACCTCTCCGATAAAAACGGCTCCGACCAAATGACCTAAAGGTTCTGCTGAAGTTCTTCCGCCAGCATTTCTCCAAGTCCCGGCTCAACAGGAACTGCCTGAAACTGGACCAGCAGAACCAGAACCATCTGCTCTGAATGGAGATCTGAGCAAAGGAAGCCTGGACCCACACTTCCTGGTCCTGATTTAGCTGCTTCTACATGTTGCCGTCCTCATCTGAGGGACACAACCAGCGTGTCCTCAGCATGTCCTCATGTCCAGCCAGAGCTGGGTTCTGGGCTGAGGGTGTCTGTCCAACATGTCTGCAGGAAGAGGCAGGGCTTACAGTGATTCTGGCAAATGATTGGGTAGAAAATAAGGTGCGGTGAAGCTGCTGGTCCTGCTGGTGCCACAGGTGGAGCTCTAGTGTCCCTGGTGCTGGTGGGGGGTGAAGGCGGGAGGAGGAGACAGAGAGAGTGGGCGGGGCTGAAGACCGCTGCCCCCTACAGGCGGAGAATCCAGCGACGACTGCGAGACACTGAGACGGAGACGGAGAAGCGGGATGAGTTTCTAGGACCGACTGGTTCTCAGGGTTAGCCACAATCTCAGCTGACCGTTACCTGACGGTGTAGCTGCTGCTGCGGTGGGAGGGGTCTGTTACCCCGGCAACAAAAAGCTTCTTCGGAGGTCCGTCTGAGTCCACACCGCCTGGAAAACAGGAGCGTGTGACGGGTTAGATCTGGAGGCCCCCTCAGTTTGTTCAGAGGTTCTAACGGCGGTTCTGAAAGCTACCTTTCCTCTTCAGCGGCGTCAGCACAGGCCATCTGACGCTGGCGCTGACCGCGGGTCTGTTGGACACCAACACAAACGTCAGAGCACTGATTCAGACAGAACCTTCCAGAATTAAACCGACTGACTGAGCTGGTTTGAACCTGAACCTCCGCGTGGGACTGGGGGACGAGTTGGGCGTCACGCCGCTGTCCTGAGACGGGCTCCACTGCAGGAGATAGAAACGGGGGTCTGGATCAGTGTAAACCGCCAACAATCTAGTTTAGATTCATCTAAATCCATCTGGATTAAGGTTTAAGCATGTTAACGGTAAATCAGGTTTTTAATTAATCTGGATTAATTCTTCATAATAAAACCTTTTTTCTGAACACAAAAATTCATCTGAAATCTCATTGGATAAACTCTAACTTTAAAGCCTCTAGATGATCCAGATTTTTGAATCAAATTTATCTCAGCCTCTGAAAAACACGCAATCAAAACTGATCTAGTTTAGTTTAAATTAACAATGAAATGTCAGATCTGGATGCAGACTTTTATTGAAAGACTTTAATTTGGTTTCTAAAGCAGCTTTCAGTTCTAATATTCCAGATTGTTTTGACCAGATCCATTCTAAACCTACTGCAGATTCAGTCAACCATACTAGTTTTCAGAGTGATCTGGATTATGTCTGAACTCCCCAATCCAGATCCAGTGTAAACTGTATGAACCTGATGGCTTAACATAAACTGACTGTAAAGGTTTAAAACTGGATTCATTCTAAACTAAGATCCTGCTGTTGTAATTGGGATTAAAACTGGGTTTAATTCTGTTGTGTCTCTAACCTGAACTGGTTTCCGTCTGAATATAAAACCCATAACTTAATCTGGATCTTATTTGATAAATGATCTAATTCAGACTAAATTGAAAACCCAAACTTGACTACGTTTGAGTCCATTTGGACTGGATCTCTCGGATCGTGATCTGAAATTGCCTGATCTGGATTCAGCGGAAACTCCCTGAAACAGAGGATGTGAATCTGGATCAAGTGTTGGATTCAGTCAGATGTTTTGGCCCAGAACAACCAAACATCCAGACAGGAAACTACAGCTTCCTTCAAAATAAGAGCAGAGCGCTCACCGTGGAGGTGTGGCCATGCCAGTGGCTGACTGGAGGAGCTGGAACCAGACGGGACGGACTGGGAGGCAGAGCAGAGCAGTGGTGAGTCTGAGCAGGATGAGACTCTGACGGCGGGTCGGGTCGGTTCTCTTACCTGAGTCGATGCATGTTCCCGCGCTGCATCCCCTCCATGTTCTCCTCCTGCATCAAACACAAAACCAGTGAATCTGAGCTCCTCAACAGCCTGTGATGGGAGGAATGGGAGTAATGGGAGGACCAGAACCAGGCTGACTCACCGGCCTCTTGTGGTCCAGTCTGTCTCCGCCCAGAGAGAAAGGAGACAAGGGGACGACCTGAGGGAGGACACAGAGAGACAGACTGAAGGAGAAGAACTGGCTTCTCCAGAACTACAGGGAGGTTCTTCTGGACCCTTTGGTTCCATGTGCTGCCATGAGGAGCCGGGCCATCGAACCTCCAACCAAGCAGGACTCTGAAGCTGTTCTACAACATTTAAACTCAAATGAAAACAGAACCATGGGAAATCTGGTTCTGGGAGGACTGGACCAGCTGGCTTAGGATCCCCTGGAACCATTAAGTTCTGCCCACGAGAACTTTATGGGCCGGCCTTCTAGTAGAACTAAATGTAAACCAAACCTCTCTGGGAGGTGATCCTGGTTCTGGAGGTTCTGCTGTCAGCAGAACAGCCAGAAATGTTTCAGTCTGGTTTCAACGTCTAGAACCCCCAATAGATGAACCCACATCTGAACCTATCAGCTTTTGGTTCCGATGCGTCTGCCTCTCAGGTTCTTATCTAATTCTATTTTATTGGGCCTCTGCGGAGCCGGATCAGAGGGGTCTCCCGCTCAGAGTCTACAAGTCTGTTCCACTGATCTTCACTGGTTTGCTAATTGCCCATTGGTAGTATGGGGTTAAAGTAAAGTCACCGGCGGCCATATTGGTACTCCCTTGTTAGACCAGTCAAAATGTAAACATACGTGCGCTACAGCATCGGACAACGATGATGTTCTCATTTTCAGGGGGACGTAAGATGTAGACGTAGATTACTTTAACATATGGTAAAAAAAAAGGGCAAATCACATTGCATAATCATTATGAAGTCAATAAACTCTATAAATCATGTAATATAACATATTGTACAATCCTACAGATGTGCCTGAAGTGCTAAATTGATGATGTACATGTAATATACATGTATTGATTACATCGTTATTGTAATTACATCTTACATGTCTGGTAATGCATGCTCTATATATATATATATATATATATATATATATATATATATATAGATAGATAGATAGATAGATATATGGGTCAAATGTTTAAGTTGCTTTTTTTACATCAACATAACATGCAATATATTTCAGCTCTTGACTTTTTTAAATGAGAAATACAACAAACACTACAAAAACAATGGCATCATCCACTTAATAAAGAATTACTACATTAACACTTCACTGTAAATTACTTTCTATTTACTATTTATGTTTTTTAACTTTAGACAGTCAATGGTGAACTCAGTTAATGTCTGAAATATTCAGACTAATGTTACACTTCATATTATTCTATGGGATAAATCAGCATATATATTGATTTTCTTGGTTAGTTCATCCACTGACTGTGAAATTACCTGTGGAACATCTTCCTACAGCTGGCAATCTGCTTGTTTCTGCAGCCAAATGCTACACATGTAGGTATTTTTACTGCGTGTCTCTGTGGGAGTGAGGAGTACCACTATGGTAGACAGTGGCTTCACTTTTTTCGGGCAACCAGCAATCCAGTGAATAAATAGAGATCAGTGGTCTGTTCTAGAGGCGGCCATCTTTACCCACCTGTGACGGGTTGATGGACACACTGCTGCGCCTGTACCGGGCCGAGGACACCGGGCTGAACACGGTCATCCCGTCACTGTGGGACAGAAGGACAGGTGACGTTAGTCTCATCTTTATCATATTAGCTGACATGTTCATCTTAAGATGCTGAGAAAGCCAGGATCTTCTTTGGTTCTGATCCACACCTAATTAGGGAAAACATACAAACCTTTTCTTCTGGACTGAAAGACCCTTTTAAGGCCCTTGGCTTAAAAGTGTTGGTGACCCTTAGACTAACGTCTCCATCTGAGTATTTAGGGGATAAATATTTTTTTCCACATTTATTAAAAAATATTTAACGTGTTTTAAGCCTTACTTTGTCATTTTAAGTGCATTCAAACAGCAACATTTTGAATTTGTTATATTTGTCATTTTAACAATACAGGAGAGCTTGGAAAAGAGACTAGAAAATAAAAATGCAGATTTTAAAACTTACTGGAATATTTGCTATTTATTCCGGTTTAATATCCGTCATGAAAATTTACAGGAACTATAATCAATAATCCCGAAAAGCAGAAATAAATATCATTAAATTACTTTTGTTGTGTGGTGCAGTACCACTCACCTGACGTTAGTTATCATGGGGGCGCTGTTGGATCTGCGAAGGGCCCCGCCTCCTGCGCCTGCGCATTGGTCCACTTCCATCCGTTCCATTCCTCCGCGCGCGGGCCCAGCGCTGGCTGCGTGCTGAGCCGACCTCTGACACTCCTACTGCGGCTGGGGGCTGTACTGTAGCCCGGCGGAAGCCTGACCTGCAGGCCTCACTGGCAGCAGAGGCAGAGCCGCCGCGTCAGCGGACACAACACCGGAGCCGCGGCGCTTTATCGCATTTTCCAGCGCAGAAACCCTCCGGTTCTGAGAGGGGACGCGGACCTGAGCGACATTTATCCCCACAGAAGCGAACCAGCTGGTGCTTCGCGTAAACAGAAAAACGTCGAACCGACGTGAAATCTGTAAACACCGAGGATAAAGTTCGGTTAGCGGGTAAACTTCAACCCCAGCGGGCTGTTTACCTCCGGCGGCGACTCTTTAAAGCCGCTCGGGACTTTGAGGATTAGCTGTTGAGCTAACTTGTTTTTGCTGTAAAACCTCCAACCACAGATCTAAATTCTGTTAAACAGCGGTCCAAACCTGCCGAACAGGGACCGGATCACCAGAACACGGAGGGAAAAGTCCTCACAGTTGCATACATCCACTCCAGGATCCCCAAAAAAGATCCAAAAAACCGGAGAAAAAAGAAAGAGTTTGGAAGATTTTTACAACATATAGTCTTTCACCAAATACTGGGAGTTCTGCACGCGGGAAAACAGCACCGCCCTGTGGCTGCTGGCAGAACTGCAGCCCCGATAACAATCTGAAAACAAGATCAAATCTAAAAAAAAAGAAGGAAAAAAACAGACAAAGCTGCATGCTTTTCTTTAACTTACAGTTTGGTTCAGTTGTTATCGATTTAAATCATTGCTGTCCACACAGAATGAGTGAAATAAGTTTTACCACCTTTACACCCACTGAGAACTGAGAACACCACTGAACATCACTGAGAACACCAATCTAATCATGTATTTCACCTATTTTATTTTAATTTTATCTGTTTTATAATTTTAATTTTTGTGGATCAGAAGCCTGACGATTAAAGAAGGCTGTTAGATCTGTGCTTGCTGCATCAAATGATTACATTTCATCACTACTGCACTTTAAAGATGGAAATGTCTTGAGAGCTGTACTGAAGAGAGTCTAGAGTGCCAATGGGCAAAAATTTAAATTGTACTGTACCTGAAAAAATAAAGATAATGAAAACAGTAAATAAAAAGTAAAGATTTACATCTGGTGTTGTCTCTATAGACCAGGTTCTCTTTTTATTACTTTGTATAGAATAATACATCGAAAAATATCTTCCAGTATTATGTTTGCTTTTGTTTACACTGATTATATTTTAAATTGATGAAATCATAGTTTGATTATTTTAATCCTTCAGTGGATCAATAAATATAATCTATAAAACAAGCAGATTTTTTTCCAGCATAGAAAAATATTCTGTTCTATCAAACATCCGTCATCAATCTCCATGGTAACGGTTTAATTCACATTCCCTTAGGTTCATTTCCGCCAATATATTCTGTTGAATTTTCTTTTTTGATACAACAAAACTTCCAGACAACAAACTTACAGGTGCTGGTCATAAAATTAGAATATCATGAAAAAGTAGATTGATTTCAGTAATTCCATTTAAAAAGTGAAACTTGTATATTATATTCATACATTACATACAAACTCATATATTTCAGATGTTTATTTTGTTTAATTTTGATGATTACAAATGACAACAAATGAAAATCTCAAATTCATCATATCAGAAAATTAGAATATTACTGAAGACCAATAAAAACAAAGGATTTATAGAAATGTTGGCCAACTGAAAAGTATGAACATGAAAAGTATGAGCATGTACAGCACTCAGTATTTAGTTGGGCCTCCTTTGGCCTGTATTACTGCAGCAATGCGGCGTGGCATGGAGTCGATCAGTCTGTGGCACTGCTCAGGTGTTATGATAGCCCAGGTTGCTCTAATAGTGGCTTTTAGCTCTTCTGAATTGTTGGGTCTGGTGTATTGCATCTTCTTCTTCACAATACCCCATAGATTTTCTATGGGGTTAAGGTCAGGAGAGTTTGCTGGCCAATTAAGAACAGGGATACCATGGTCCTTCAACCAGGTACTGGTAGCTTTGGCACTGTGTGCAGGTGCCAAGTCCTGTTGGAAAATGAAATCTGCATCTCCAAAAAGTTGGTCAGCTGCAGGAAGCATGAAGTGCTCTAAAACTTCCTGGTATGTGGCTGCGTTGACCCTGGACCTCAGAAAACACAATGGACCTACACCAGCAGATGACATGGCACCCCAAACCATCACTGACTGTGGAAACTTTACACTGGACTTCAAGCAACGTGGATGAAGTGCCTCTCTTCTTTTCCTCCAGACTCTGGGACCTTGATTTCCAAAGGAAATGCAAAATGTACTTTCATCAGAGAACATGACTTTGGACCACTCACCAGCAGTCCAGTCCTGTTTCTCTTTAGCCCAGGCAAGACGCTTCTGACGCTGTCTGTGGTTCAAGAGTGGCTTGACACAAGGAATGCGACAGCAGAAACCCATGTCTTTCATACGTCTGTGTGTGGTGGTTCTTGAAGCACTCACTCCAGCTGCAGTCCACTCTTTGTGAATCTCCCCCACATTTTTGAATGGGTTTTGTTTCACAATCCTCTCCAGGGTGCGGTTATCTCTCTTGCTTGTACACTTTTTTCGACCACAGCTTTTCCTTCCATTCGCCTCTCTATTAATGTGCTTGGACACTGAGCTCTGTGAACAGCCAGCCTCTTTAGCGATGACCTTTTGTGTCTTGCCCTCCTTGTGCAAGGTGTCGATGGTCGTCTTTTGGACAACTGTCAAGTCAGCAGTCTTCCCCATGATTGTGTAGCCTATAGAACTAGACTGAAAGACCATTTAAAGGCTTTTGCAGGTGGTTTGAGTTAATTAGCTGATTAGAGTGTGGCACCAGGGGCCATCAATTTTGAACCTTTTCACAATATTCTAATTTTCTGATATGATGAATTTGAGATTTTCATTTGTTGTCATTTGTAATCATCAAAATTAAACAAAATAAACATCTGAAATATATGAGTTTGTATGTAATGTATGAATATAATATACAAGTTTCACTTTTTAAATGGAATTACTGAAATCAATCTACTTTTTCATGATATTCTAATTTTATGACCAGCACCTGTACTTATACACACTCACATTCACTCACGCATTCACCATTTAAACCTGCATTTGTCTAGTTACAAAAATGTACCAAATCCTTTAGATTAAGGCAGAGACTTAAAAAAAAAAAAGAAAAAGGGGCAATATACACTCACTGGCCACTTTGTTAGGTACACCTGTCCAACTGCTCGTTAACACTTAATTTCTAAGCAGCCAATCACATGGCGGCAACTCAGTGCATTTAGGCATGTAGACATGGTCAAGACAATCTCCTGCAGTTCAAACCGAGCATCAGTATGGGGAAGAAAGGTGATTTGAGTGACTTTGAACGTGTCATGATTGTTGGTGCCAGAAGGGCTGGTCTGAGTATTTCAGAAACTGCTGATCTACTGGGATTTTCACGCACAACCATCTCTAGGGTTTACAGAGAATGGTCCGAAAAAGAAAAAACATCCAGTGAGCGGCAGTTCTGTGGGCCGAAATGCCTTGTTGATGCCAGAGGTCAGAGGAGAATGGCCAGACTGGTTCGAGCTGATAGAAGGGCAACAGTGACTCAAATAACCACCCGTTACAACCAAGGTGGGCAGAAGAGCATCTCTGAACGCACAGTACGTCGAACTTTGAGGCAGATGGGCTACAGAAGCAGAAGACCACACCGGGTGCCACTCCTTTCAGCTAAGAACAGGAAACTGAGGCTACAATTTGCACAAGCTCATGGAAATTGGACAATAGAAGATTGGAAAAACGTTATCTGGTCTGATGAGTCTCGATTTCTGCTGCGACATTTGGATGGTAGGGTCAGAATTTGGCGTCTACAACATGAAAGCATGGATCCATCCTGCCTTGTATCAACGGTTCAGGCTGGTGGTGGTGGTGTCATGGTGTGGGGAATATTTTCTTGGCACTCTTTGGGCCCCTTGGTACCAATTGAGCATCGTTGCAACGCCACAGCCTACCTGAGTATTGTTGCTGACCATGTCTATCCCTTAATGACCACAATGTGCCCAACTTCTGATAGCTACTTTCAGCAGGATAATGCGCCATGTCATAAAGCTGGAATCATCTCAGACTGGTTTCTTGAACATGACAATGAGTTCACTGTACTCAAATGGCCTCCACAGTCACCAGATCTCAATCCAATAGAGCATCTTTGGGATGTGGTGGAACGGGAGATTCGCATCATGGATGTGCAGCCGAGAAATCTGCGGCAACTGTGTGACGCCATCATGTCAATATGGACCAAACTCCCTGAGGAATGCTTCCAGCACCTTGTTGTATTTATGCCACGAAGAATTGAGGCAGTTCTGAAGGCAAAAGGGGGTCAAACCCGTTACTAGCATGGGGTACCTAATAAAGTGGCCGGTGAGTGTATGAATAAAAACTGTAGTCAAGACATCCATTTAAAACTCCCATCCATAAGCTCCACTTTCAGTCCCTATGATCCTCATATATGGCTCCCATAGATTATCAAAAGTCACTTTGTTTGCCCTTTGCAATGTGTGACAGTTTTCTCCAGTCCGAGTGAACCTGCAACTTCTTTCCTGCAGAGTCCCATGGAGGAGGCCTCCATGCTCCTCCAGCATGGTGCCATAGATCTGCTGGCCTCTGTAATTGTTTAAATTCTATTGGATATATTCCTAGAACGCAGATTTTACGTTAAGCAATTCAGATAGACGCCTAATCCTTTAATTTCATTTTGATCTAATTAATCAGAGGTTGTTCATCAAATCAAATCGAAAGAATCAATGCAACGAACGTCGAAACAGAACCAAACCGAAAAATATCAGAACTTCAGCAGAAATGTGGTTGCCATGGAAACAGCCTCTAAATAAACCTGGAATCAAACATTCTGGGAACATCTGAGCTTCTGGACCTGTCTGCAGAACTGGGTCCATCTCTACAGGGAGGCACAGAACCAGAACCACAGCTATGACCCAACCAGTGAATTCAGCTCACAGAGGTTCTGGTTCTGAAATGTTCTGGACATTTTTTCAGGAGATTCTCATTTATTCGGAACCAGAACAGAAGAAGCGGTCCGTGACCAGCTGATCCTGTCAGCTGACAAGATGTCCTGTTGGGGTCCTGACCTTTGACCCCTGTCACCATCATGCTGAGCAGTAAAAACTGATCTAAAAATAAGTCAAATTCCCTAAAAAGTTGTTTTAACATTAATTTAAGAAGGAAAATTTGGTGATCTCAAAATGAAATTAGTATTTCTGTCTTTAATTCGTTATTAGGATATGAAAATAAATAATGTAGTAATTTATTTTAAACATTAAAAATATCAGTCATTCTTAAAGATTGCCTGATTTATCTATTCAAGTTACGGGAAAATAAAATTAGTTTAAAAAAAAAATGAAGTAACATGGAGGAATAGAGAGTTTGTCTGGCAGAGTTTGAAAGCTTCCTTCCTCCTGCAGCAGGAGCTCCTGTGTGTGGGTGGAGGAAGAGGAGGAGCAGGGGAGCTCCTGCCTTCCTCCAGGCCCACCAACTTCCAGAACTCCTCCAACTTTCCTCAATGGCTCCTTGAAGGACGAAGTTGGAAAACTTCGCCTCGCAGTTGATCCACGCGGACGGAGAGCGGCATGAGGGAGAGACACGGAGCCGCGCGGATGTGACCGCGAGGGTCCGAGATCCGGAGGTTCCCACGGAGAACTGGTAAACAACAGAGAAGGAGGGGCGGTGACACCCCGGAGATAGATATATGATAGATAGATAGATTATAGATAGATGATATATGATACATAGATAGATTATAGATAGATAGATAGATAGATAGATATATTATAGATAGATAGACAGATGGATACATTATAGATAGATAGATAGATGATATATAGATAGATAGATATATTATAGATAGATATATGATAGATTGATATATATATATATAGATAGATGTATGATAGATTGATATATATATATATATAGATAGATAGATAGATAGATAGATAGATAGATAGATAGATAGATAGATAGATAGATAGATAGATAGATAGATAGATAGATAGATAGATGATAGATAGATAGATAGATAGATAGATAGATAGATAGATAGATAGATAGATAGATAGATAGATAGATAGATAGATAGATAGATAGATAGATAGATAGATGGTAGATAGATAGAATCCTATTCTTCCTTTAAGTGAATCATTTATTTGTTTTTGATAAAATCAGTTTCTGACTGACAAGATTTTATAAACTGTTGGTATTCAGGAGGATGGAAGGAGAAAAAGGGACAGAGGAGGAGGAGGAGGGGGAGGAGAAGGACAATCATCACTTCCCAGTGGATCACCAAGAGCTTCCCATCATGCACTGGGAGGAGCTGAGCCAGCGGATTGCTGAGCTGGAGAAGCAGGAGGAGGAGAGGAGGAAGAAGGTAGGAAGATCATCATCATCAGTAGATCAGTGTTTTGGTTCTGTGGGTTGAGGACCTGATGCTCCATCCACCTGGACACAAACCTCTCCATACGTTGCTATGAGAACTTCATTATGTTCATGATAAAGATGAATTTCATCTGTTGGATGTTTGGAGACCAGCCATGAAGCAGAGGGTTTGATATGGGGCGGCAGAGTAAAGGGGGCTGATTGCTTCTGTAGTTCTTATCTGTTTCTGTGGTTCTGAAGGGATTGAAGGTTCTGTTTTAGGTCCAGGTTCTGATGTTTCTGAAGGTATAACCTATGATGCTGTTTGTCTCCAGAGGAGGACGGAGGACAGGCAGGGTGGGGACTGGAGGGACGTCTGGGACAAGGAGGACCTGGTCCACAGGGGTCTGGTTGCTGTGGCTGCTTCACGGTAAGACCGGGTCTGAGGGATTCAGGAGGCAGTTTTCAGGATGTCCAAGACTCCAACATGGACCAACTCCATGATGGAGTCCTAGAAGAACAGAAGGTGAAGCTCCAGCTGCTCCGCTTCATCTGGTCCAGCCTGGTTCCAGTTACACCAGAACCATTCAGAGACCAAGGATGCTGGGAGGGGGCGTGTCTCTATCAGGGAGACATGTTGGCTGGAAGGAGACAGAAACACGTCTAATCGGAGAAACTGTGGTCATTGGATGAAGTTAAATCCAAAAGGTTCTGAGGATCTCTTCTCCAACTAAACTGTGATTGTGAAAAAAAACTGACGACTGATCAGAGCGATAGCTGAGTCCAATGTTCTGTGACCCGGTTAAACTTGATTGGCAGTTCTACTGGAAAGGATGACTGAGATCCAGGAGGACTGGGTTCATCACAACCAAAACACACTGATCTCTATTTATTCACTGGATTGCTGATTGCCCCAAAAAAGTGAAGCCACTGTCTACCATGCTGGTACTCCCCTATGGGGCACACCCCATACTCCCCACTCCCACAGAGTCACGCAGTCAAAATTCCTACATGTGAAGCATTTGGGAGCAGAAACAAGCAGTTTTCCAGCTGTGGGAAGATGTTCCACAGGTAGTTTCACAGTCAATGGATGAACTAACCAAGAAAATCCATATATACACTAATCCCCCCCCCCCCCCCCCCCGCACACTTCTCGTCCGAGATGTCTGATGTATTTCCTGGGATCTGCTGTAACCATGTATGTGTGTATATATATATATATATATATAAATACATGTCTATTACACGTACATCATCAATTTAGTACTTTTGGGACATCTGTATTATTATGCTCCATTAACACATTACTTTTATTGTGATGGATTTGTATAATATGTAATAATACATGATTTAGAGACTTCATTGACTTTATAATACCTATGCAATCTGATGTGCCTTCTTTGTTTATTTTAGTTACAGTAATCTACATATGCAATGAATTTATCTTTTTTTAAGTCTTAAGTCCCCCTGAAAATGAGAACATCATCGTTGTTTGATGCTGTAACACATATTGTGTACACTGCGACCAGTCTATCTAGGGAGTACCAATATGGCGGCCGGTGGCTTCACTTCAACCCCGTACTACCAATGGGTAATCAGCAATCCAGTGAATAGATAGAGAACAGTGCCAAAACTAAACCGAATTATTTTAGTTTCATCTTAAAGTCACAGAAAATTCCCTTTAAAGGTGCTGCAGGCCACCATTGCTGCCATCTGGTGGTTAAGAAGGAAATAGCATTGGCCTCAATTTAGCCCAGAAACATTAACTATGTCCACAGGGAGTTCTGCTCTGTGTGGTCTTCCTCATTAAGGAATGGAGGTGGTCTTCCTCAGTTCTCAATCAGCAGCTACAGACAGAACCAACGACTGGATCTGATTATTCAGCTTGTTTTTCGCCAAAGGAGGATTCAAAGATCTTCATTGTGAAATCAGGGTTCTAGTTCACTTCCTGTTTATGTGACCGGTCCTGGATGCCTCACTGAGTCAGAGCAACTTTGGACCTTAGCCTGTATTTTCAGCAGGTTTTCCATCCGTGTCCCTGCAGCAGAATCTCAGATTAGATCATTGAGATGTTTTGGTTCAGACCTCTGACCTCATGATGAGGTCCAAGCTGGGCTGAAGTGATGATAATGGTGATGAACCAGGAGGTTTGAGGAAAACTCAGAAAGCAGCAGAAGTCTCCATCTACAGATAATTATTTACTTCCTGTTTAGCCTAACCAATCAGAAGCCTTTTTTATTAGATTTATTAGATAATTTATTCCATCTGTATCCAGAATGATCTGTTTGACTGTATTTGAGCCTGAATCCTAGTTTTATCTATTTTCCTAATAAGCTGGTTGGCCTGTTTTACAGAATAACACTTGATTGAAAGTTATTTGATCAAACATTTAAAGTTATTTAATTAACTTTATTATAATTAAAGTTATTTAACTAACTTTATTGCACAACATGTCTATTTTAGATTAAACAACAACAGGAACCTGCAGCTCTGCTTCATCAACAACAGTGACACAGAGGAAGAGGAGGAGGAGGAAGGAGCTAATGGAAAGGTTTTAAGAACCTTTGATCCCAAATGATTAAAAGTTATAACAAAGATGATGGATGGATGGATGGATGGATGGATGGATGGATGGATGGATGGATGGATGGATGGATGGATGGATGGATGGATGGATGGATAAAATGTTAAACCTGACCTTTGACCTTTGTGTTAAAGGCTCAGATCAGTAGATTTTATTGGATCATCTTGTCTCCAAACATATTTCCTTTGCAGTTATCTGACCTTTGACCTTTTGTCCATAGGTTTCCATGGGACCAACACACAATGGTTGCCATGGTGCCGGATTGAAACAGGAAGTGGCTGCAGCTCTGAGAGCGCTGAGAGACAATCTGTTGGCTGAGCAGAAGCAGCAGGAAGAGGTAAAATTCAGAGATGATCAGAGAAGACCAGTCTGTCTATTTCTTTTTTATTTTTTTAGCTATTTAGAAACATTTTTTTCTATATTTATCTACTTTCTGAGGAGCAACAGAGGCCCGTACCATGAAGCAGGATTACTGGGTTAGCCAGATAACTTCATGTTTAACCCTGACTTTCCAGTACCATGAAGCTGGATTCATTCTTAGCCAGGATAGTTACCATGGTAACGTACTCTGAACAGCAAAACTGCTGCGGGGCAGGCTAGCTTTCAGCCAATGGTAGCAAAGGAACGCTCTGAAAATAACAGTATTAGCCAATCAGAATTGGTACCAATTGGTATTGGTATTTGGATTTTCAAAAGTCAAATTTAGTCTTCAATCATTCATGCAATCTCTGATCCCATCACAACCCCCCTGGAATGGCTTGAAAAAAAAAAGAAAAAAAAAAAAAAAAAAAAAAAAATATATATATATATATATATATATATATATATATATATATATATATATATATATATATATATATATATATATGAGTTTCTCACTTGTGTCGAAAAAGTTAAGGCTCAGGATTATTTTAATTTTTTTGCTTTAATCCCTGTCATTAACTCAGTCAGCAATCTTTTGTCACATTTGGCATCTCTTTTATGCTGCCAACATGTTTGACTTAATTCCTCTTAGTATTTCTGTAAGATGAGTTTTTGTTCCTCCAGGAGAAACATGGCGCTCTCCCTTCTGCATTCCTGGTTCTGATTTGTCTGCTCCCTTGAACCCGCCCCTTTCTACGCGAGCATTCACAGATTCATGATCAGTTAAAACCTGGTTGAGTTAGCAAATTGATAACCAGCTTCATCAGATTGTTGTGGACTGGTTGAACTGGATAGGCTTATGAAGGCTGGTCCTAATGTGGCGGACCTCCATTTTTTTTTTTTTTTTACCTTGGAGACTCGATTTAGGTTAATGTCAGAGTAAGCCTTAAGTACAGTAACTAAGATGAATGTAAAGTCCTAATATAGCTCTAAATATCATCTTGTGTGTGTTTGTGCACAGAGCCAGGCGAGCAGCAGCTGCATTGCACGCTGGAAACATCTGGAACGCCGGGAGCTGCAGCAGCAGTCTCTGCAGCAGCTCAGCAGCCTGAGAGCGTCACTGCAGCAGGAAGTTCACGGTACTGAAAACATCCTCTGATCTTCATTCTTTTAGGCTGCTGATGTGGACGGTTCTGTTCGGCAGCAGAAGTTCTAGATCGGAAGGTTTTAAATTTAAAGCCTCACTGCTTGGTTCTGATCCGGGTTGATCAGGGTTTTGACATGTCTTTAAATTCTTCTTTGGAAATCATCTGAAGCTCAGGTGGATTAGATGGAGGACATCAGTTTTCAAAGCCTCAGATTATCAGCCGTGATTAGGTCTGGCCTTTGACTAGGCCACCTGGCTCTGTTAGGGTTGTCTCCGGCTGTCCCCCTTAGTCTGGCGTTCAAACTGCCTCGTAGTTTGATCCAGGATGGTCCTGGATTCAGCTCTGTCCTTCTCCCATCCACTCTGAGCAGTTTCTCTGTCCCTGATGAAGAATGGTCTCCCCTCAGCATGATGCTGCCACCACTGTGTGTCACTGTTTCCCTCAACAGATCTGTTAAGGTCTCCTCTGATCAGAACTTCTGCTGGGTCAGCAGCAGGCTGGCTCCTTTCCATGATGATCCACCTGAGCTGCTGATCTTTGCAGCTCCTCAGGATCCTCTATGGTCCTTTTTTTCTCTGATCATGGCTCCATGCCCTGGCGGGTCTGCAGGTGGTCCATTCTCTCCATGTTCAGATGATGGATGGATTAGAACTCTGGGAGACGTTCCAGAACATAATCCTGCTGTAAACTGAACCAGAACTCCTTCCTGACCCATCAGCTGGGGTCCAAGATGATGGTTCTGAGGACCCAGATGATGGTTCTGAGGACCCAGTTGTTGGTTCTGAGGACCCAGATGTTGGTTCTGAGGTCCCAGATGATGGTTCTGAGGTCCCAGATGATGGTTCTGAGGACCCAGTTGTTAGTTCTGAGGTCCCAGTTGTTAGTTCCGAGGTCCCAGATGATGGTTCTGAGGTCCCAGATGATGGTTCTGAGGTCCCACATGATGGTTCTGAGGTCCCAGTTGATGGTTCTGAGGTCCCAGTTGTTATTTCTGAGGACCCAGATGATAGTTCTGAGGTCCCAGTTGTTGGTTCTGAGGACCCAGATGTTGGTTCTGAGGTCCCAGATGATGGTTCTGAGGTCCCAGATGATGGTTCTGAGGTCCCAGATGATGGTTCTGAGGTCCCAGTTGTTAGTTCCGAGGTCCCAGATGATGGTTCTGAGGTCCCACATGATGGTTCTGAGGTCCCAGTTGTTAGTTCTGAGGTCCCAGATGATGGTTCTGAGGTTCCAGTTGTTGGTTCTGAGGTCCCAGTTGTTAGTTCTGAAGTCCCAGTTGACGGTTCTGAGGTCCCAGATGACGGTTCTTAGGTCCCACATGATGGTTCCGAGGTCCCAGTTGACGGTTCTGAGTTCCCTGATCATGGTTCCGAGGTTCCAGATGTTGGTTCTGAGGTCCCAGTTGTTAGTTCTGAGGTCCCAGATGATAGTTCTGAGGTCCCACATGATGGTTCTGAGGTTCCAGATGATAGTTCTGAGGTCCCACATGATGGTTCTGAGGTTCCAGATGATAGTTCTGAGGTCCCACATGATGGTTCCGAGGTCCCAGTTGACGGTTCTGAGTTCCCAGATCATTGTTCCGAGGTTCCAGATGTTGGTTCTGAGGTCCCAGTTGATGGTTCTGAGGTTCCAGTTGTTGGTTCTGAGGTCCCACTTGTTAGTTCTGAGGTCCCAGTTGACGGTTCTGAGGTCCCAGATGATGGTGTGAGCACCCAGATGATGGTTCTAAGGTTCCAGTTGTTGGTTCTGAGGTCCCAGTTGTTAGTTCTGAGGTCCCAGTTGACGGTTCTGAGGTCCCAGATGATGGTTCCGAGGTTCCAGATGATAGTTCTGAGGTCCCACATGATGGTTCCGAGGTCCCAGTTGACAGTTCTGAGTTCCCAGATTATGGTTCCGAGGTTCCAGATGTTGGTTCTGAGGTCCCACTTGTTAGTTCTGAGGTCCCAGGTGACGGTTCTGAGGTCCCAGATGATAGTTCTGAGGTCCCAGATGTTGGTTCTGAGGTCCAAGTTTTTGGTTCTGAGGTTGCAGATTTTGGTTCTGTTGGGGAAGGAATGTGGAATATTTTTGGTCCTGGTACAATCTACATTTAAACTTTTGATCCACTTCTTGGTTCTGTCTGATCTGGGTTTTTCTTTCAGCTCTCAGCTCTGAGCTGGTGGCCCACCTGTTTGTTCGGGACCAGCTGAGGACAAAGCAGGACGCCATGCTGCTGGACGTCCAGGACCTGACCTGAACCCCTGGACCAGGCCTGCTAACAGGTCGGGACGCCGCTCTCTGTCTGAAAGGGAAAAGGGAACGAATGGAGCCCAAATGGAGACAGAGAACATGGACAGAACCATGACCCAGTCTGTGGTCACGGGCCGTTTCCTCTGGGCGACTCATCAGGACTGGACGATGAAGATGTTCTGCTCTGAGGAGCATCCGGGAGAACATCTGGATCCATCTAAGGGTTTTATAGGATTGAGTTTTTTATATCACACCAGATGTTCAGGAGGATAGAAGATGTTTCTGCTTCTGAAATGTTTTATATGAAGATGTTAAAAACATATTGCTTGATTTTTAGCCTTCTGCTTTTTATAATGACAAATATTTAACTAAGTTTACGTTTTTTATGTATTGGTTACAGCAGAGATCAGGAGGAATGAGCTCCTCTAACAGCTGCTAAGCTAAGCTAACAGATTTCTTCTCTGTCAGTGGTTTGGCTTATTAAACATTAAACCAGAGGAACTGATTCACTGTGACTTTAAATCCATTGTATTATGTAAAAATAATAACTGATGTGTTTCTGTTTTAATATTCTTTCTTAAATAAATATAAAGGAGAAATAAGATGCTGGTTTGCTTCTGGGCTTGCATTATTTACTTGTTTTTACACTGAGGCCCTGATATACAGAAGGTTTATGCTTTCAAACTGATTTTAACAGAGCAGATCTTCAAAGAAGGAGCAAAATGATTTATGTTTGCAGTTCAGCAGACCTTCATCAACATGCAGATCATATTCTGATCACTGAACTCCACTAATTCATGGAGGAGAATCTAAGCTAAGCATCACAGGCAGAGAGATTTTCTAAATTGGAAATTCTACAGCAGCCTCAATTTTTAGCATCTTTTTTTCAGTAGATCTGCTGCCATTGTTGGACCCTTATCGAGAACAATGATATTAATAAAGAAAAATGTGCAAGAACAAATTATTGCAGCAGGAGGGAGTTCCCTTATACAGGAACATGAAAATAAATTATATAGAAAATGTGTTTATCAAACTGGTTATGAAAAGAACCGGGGGAGCTGGGTGGGTGGGTTGCTGCTTTATCAGATTCAAACGGGAGTTTCTAAACATTTAGAAACGTATGATCCATCCTCCCTTAGCTGGAATCACAGCCTTGCTGGAAAGTTTCAGGCTCGATTCTGTGCATAACCAGCTTGCAAAGGTGTCAAGAAAGGATGTACAAATAATTCCTTACTCTACTTAAGTACACTTTATAGGTATCTATATTTTACTCTGTTACTTATTTTTCTTCCTACTTCTGACTTCTACTCCTTACATTTTCATACAAGTATCTGTACTCATTATTCTAGGCTTCGGTTTAATTTTTATAAATATTTATTTCACGTCATGTGCGCCATCCAATGCAGATCATTGGCTCCATCCACATCTAGTGAAAACTAGTGTAATTGGATGAGTCATAGAACGCAAACACTCATTGGTTAGCTAAAGGAAATCATTAGAAGCAAGCAGGTGTTCTTCAGACTGCAAATGTGAATTGTCTATGCCATGCTACAATGTTGGATTCAGAAAAAGATGTTGAAATGTCTTAAAGGTCGGACAGAGGCGAGTGCCTATCTGGAGACCAACAAGACCTCCCTCATCCTTGGCCCTTTCTCAAAGAATTTTTCGAAATGGTCCGAAAATTTAGCTTTCAATTCATATAGTGGCATCTGGCTGTTTTTTTTAAAGGTTACTTTATACTTTTATACTATAAGTAGTTTTTGGAGCATATACTTTTTCACTTTTACTTGAGTAAAGAGGTCAAGTTTATACTTTAACTTTTACCAGAGTGTTTTTAAACTGCAGTATCTATACTTCTACTTAAGTAACAAATGTGTTTACTTTTGACACCACTGCCAGCTTGATAAATGAGAAATGGTGTTTCTGAACCTCCTACCAACATTAGTTTAATCTCCAGAAACCAGCATTCAGGATCAAAGATCAGGGTCTAATCCTGGGATCCAGCTGGCTCCATCCGACCAGCAGCTGCAGCTCTGATAACAATCATAGAGGCTGAGATCATTCAGCTTGGAATCAGAGCTGATGATGATGATGATGAGGGGGGAGGGGTTTGTGGGAGAGGGGAAGCTGGTGCTGCGCAGGGTCTAGTTAAAGGCTCAGGTGAGGAGGAGCAGGAACGACGGAGGAGCAGAAGGTGAGAAGATTTTCCTTCCTTCCAAACTGAGCTGCTTCCTGCTTCAGGAGGAAGATTTTTCTTAAATGATGAAGATTTGATCTGGTTGCTTCAGATCACAGTTAGCTTTTAGAGATTTAATGGAAACACATCATCTCCAGTCTTTTGAAGGTTAGAGGAGAAGCTCTGGCCGCTAATTGGCTGCATGTGGTTCTGGAGCTCCTGAACATTCATTTAGACATTAAAGTTCTGAAGCTTTAAAGATCCGACCTATTCAGGGGGAGTAGAGCTGCAGGCTGCGCTGCCCTAACCCTCTGCACTCCTGGATTGGGTTTCATTCCAGTGGTTCTGACTCAATGAGTTCTCATCTATTATTCAGAGACACGATGAAGGTCAGAGGAGGAAGAGAAAAACAAGAAAGTAAATATGAATGTAAACTTAGATCAGATGCTTTAAAAAAAGACAAGGCCTGGTTATTCTGAGAACAATATATCTAGAGGAAAATGATGGAAAAAAGAACAAAATGCATGAAGGAGAACATTTAAGTGGCAGGATGATGAAAAGATGAACATCAAACCATAATGTTCACATCTCTCAGTCAAAGGTTTGTCTAACTAACAGGTTTTTAGTCAACTCAGAGGTCTGGCTGTTGATCCACTGCCAACCAGTCTGTAATGTATGTTGGAGCTCAGCCATTTAGTCATTTCTAGACTAACAGAAGGATTTTAAAGTTTTTTTTCTCTGTGTTACATTGAGCCAGAGAAAGGACTTTAGATCTGGGCTGATGTTCTGCAGGGAGCAGCGTTCTGAATCTGCTACACTTGTCTGATCCACTTTTTTTAGCAGACTGTAGAAGACACCACTGCAGGGATCACTTCTACTAAAGATGAACGAAGCAGTTTATCAAGGTCCTGCTGAGACCTTTGTCCTTTAATCCCAAAGATGTTCTTTAGGTCAGGGGTCTTCAACGTTTTCCAGGGCAAGGACCCCCGAAACTGATGGCCAGATGGAGCCATTATATATATTGTAATTATATATATTGTATGACATTGTGTTATATCAAACTGGTCCTATAGTCACTCTATTAAATATGGAGTAATGTAAAAAAAAAAGAAGTTATTCCTCCCTGGGATTAGTCAAGTATTTCTGATTCAGATTCCTGGTGTTGTGAATGAAATGGTGCCCAGCTTGAAAGAGCTCCTGTGTGTCGCTGAATGTGTGCATTGATGACTGAAAGACATCTTCTGCCTCCATTGATCTGTTTACTACAGTGTGTTGAATTCATGTTAATGTGGATTTAAAGACATTTCATCTAGTGGAAAAAAATTGCAGGGGGGAATATAAAAAAAAAGGTAATCAACCAAAACTTTTGAGACCCCCTTGCAGTACCTCTGTGGACCCCCTAGGGGTCACGGCCCCCTGTTGAAAACCTCCTCTTTAGGTGATAGAACACCAACTTTATTCCTTTAATTATGAACCTCTGAAGGTTCAGATCTGAGTCCATCCAGGGGTTGACGTTAGGGATTTTTACCACGTGACTTTCACATTTCATTTGCCCAGAAACAATTTTTACTTGCCCAGTATAACGTTTGATAAATATAGTTCCTAATATTTATTTTTAAGGATGATGAAATATCCTAACAGCTCAGTAAGCCAATCAGGAGGTTCTGCTGGGACCTTCTGTAGCAGTGTTCCACTGTGGTTCCAAAACCAGAGGTCTTCTCTAGAGATCACGCAGAGTCTTTAGACGCTGAGACTTATGGCTGTTGGTTTAACTGCCAGAGCGACTAAATTCATTTGGTTTAAGTGACAGAGGTTTATAGCTGATCAGAGGAACCGGCTGATAAGGAATGACAATACCAGGAAGCTAAATGGTTCAGTTAATGGCTAAGATTAAATAATGGAACTACAGAAACTGAAGCACGCCAAGCGAGCTGTTTGTCCATCAATGTTTACACGGATTCTGGACGGATTTGATTGTTTCTGACTGTTTGCTCCACAGAGCAGGTCTGAATGTAAACCCTGAACCAAACGGTCCAGCAGCTGCAGCTGAACTGCTGCACAGAGAGACGAAGCTTTCCGGAGAGCTGCGTTAATCATTCAGGAGCTAATGGAGCGAGACGCAGCCTTCATCAGCAGAACAAGGCGACAGGACATTCAGAACAAGCTCAGAACTAATGAGTCTGTTTCCTCTGTCCAACAGGTCTGGATCGGTCCTCAACCAACAGCCGGTTCCATAGGTAGGCAGATAGATAGATAGATAGATAGATAGATAGATAGATAGATAGATAGATAGATAGATAGATAGATAGATGATAGATAAATAAATAGGAGGGCTGCTATGATGTCAGAGGAATCGGAAGCAGTCCACCTTTAAACCCCAGAGGTTCATGATGGGCCTGAACCGGGTCTCCAGCACCACTCCATACATCAGTTTTCTGGCTGTGGTGAGCTCCCGCCTAAACTCCTCCACCACCTCCTCCATCCCTCCGTCTTCTTGCACCATCGATGAATCCTACAAGTATGTCTTTTTGCCCGTCTGCTACTCCCTCACCTTCGTCTTCAGCCTGGTTCTGAACTCTGTGGTTCTGCTGCGATCATGCCGTCCTCACGGCGCCGGAGCCGGTGGCGGGCGGCGCTGGAACACCTCTCTGATCTACATGGTGAACCTGGCCACCACAGACCTGATGTATGGCCTGTCGCTGCCCTTCCTGGTTGCCAGCTACGTGCTGAGGGACCACTGGGTGTTTGGGGACTTCATGTGCCGCCTTGTACGATTCCTATTCTACTTCAATCTCTATTGCTCCATCTTCTTCCTCACCTGCATCTCTGTGCACAGGTAGGATATACTTTTATACATACCTCATTGAACTGTGGCTTCATAAATAACTGCTTAACCAGATTTTAGGAGAACCTTCGGGGTTTTTCTGAAACATTCAAAGGTCTGATTTTCTCTATGTAAGAAGTTCAGCAGTTTTCCAATGTTTGTGATGTTTTCAGTGTTTTTCCCAGAGGGTCTGATTGTCCCCAGGCAGGTACAGCTCTCGATGTTCATGTACAAACATTCTATGTACGTTTCCGGTACTGTTAATTTTTGATGCATTTGGCCTTTGAACTTTATTCACCGAGAGGACAGTAGCTGCGCAACACCTGAGCTTCCACAAATCTCTGCACCAATCAGAGGCTATGAACACGGAGGCCTGTTGGTCCTCTTACCTTACTGAGTTTAGTATTAAAGAAGGAAAACTGCTGAACAACCTGAACTCATTTCCTGTAGGATCACAGAAACCACTGAGCCTGAACTGCTTGGAAAAGTAAAATCTCCCAACTTACGGGAGCCTTTGTTGTTTCGGGGGTTTATTCTTTCGGGTCGGTCCCGTCATCAAACATGTAGCTGTTCAGCCACTGGAACGTTGTGGTTTTCCTTTCAATCCGTGCTTTTCCAAAGAGTTTCCCTCTCTTGGAAGCGGCACACAAACCTAATGATGGTTTAGCTACACACCGTTAACTCTGACGGTCTATGGCCCCATTGCAGGTACCCATGGGTCAATGAGCTCATGTCTTTATGTAGAACTGCTCAGCCTGGTTCAGATGAAAGAAGCTGCAAATCCTAAAGTAAATCTGGAGATGTTTGTTATGCTGTAAAAGTGTTTGATTTTTCCATCAGTGATAAACAATATTCGTGTTTGTCTGTAGCCGAAAAGTTTGACTTTTTGCTCTTCCTTTATCAGTGTGTAGAGAAATACTATTTCTGAGCGTGGTTTCCTCACCGGACCCTCTGTGGTACCTTCATGTGTTGCTATCGCAGCTTCTTCTCTCTCTTGTTGACTTGGCCATGTACTCACAGTTACAACAAGCATTCAAGATGTGGGCATAAATGTTAAGCTATCAATTTGTTTAATTGAGATTGTTCTATCCAATAAGTTTCTTAGCAGCAGTCATGGTACCGGATCCACTACCAAAGTCAGAACATAGCAGCTCAAATCATATCATAGACATAAGGAGAGACTCAGCTTGTTGCTAAACAGTTCAGTAGCTTGAGGTAATAGCAGGATAGGAAATGTCAAGAACTATGCAGTCCAGAGTTGCCTCGAACGTAGAACCAATTTTACTAAGTGCAGACTCTCAGGACAATGGGGTGGTATCTGAAAAACTTTGACCTTACTAGAACTTTCTCATCACCTAGTTCTGTTTAAAGTGTTTATGGACAAATTTTAAGGTGTAGTAATGAAAAAGAGGGAACATCTAGGTCTCAACCTTACTCTCAGCAGATGTTGAGGTCTTTGCAGTGGTTAACATGTTTAAAACTGGTCCTCAACTGTAAAAAATTGGAATACCACTTCTACAGCATCAACCTGAAGAGTTTAAGCATCCCATTGTCTTGTTCTTCAAAAGGTAAGGTTTGTGTGGCGATTAGTAAGCTACCCACTTTACAGGCAGGTTTCGGAGTATCTGACGAGTACAGGGCTGGTTACACCGCAGCAGTGTGTTGCAGTGAGTTTGTTGCAGATATTTTTGTTTTATGCCCAATATTGTAGCGTGGTCTGTGCTATGTTATTCTACGCCACAACGCAAGAGGGACGATCAGGACCTAGCTGTTGGTTTAAATAAGGTCGAGGCAGTGAAGAAGTAGGGGCAAGTTTGTCCGGCAATGGAGGGACATGCGGGCGAAAAACAGTGGGGATCCAGGTGGAATAAGTGTCCCAGTGTTCTGGCGCATCTCGATCTTCTAGCTGGTCCATCTTCACCAGTCGTTTCCCGCAATGGCGGTCATACAAAAAAAAAAAACAAGCCGGTAAGGTACCAAACGGGGAGTACTCATAGTGTAGAGTGAATGTAGATTTGACCAATCAGATGCCTCCTGTCTGTGGTCAAATACGATTTTGGAGAGGTGCGGCAGAGTGTCTGCGGCAGGGTTCGGAGGCACATTTGCATTCACTGCGACACACACACAGACCACCTGGTTTCTGAGTGTATATCAGCCTTACCTTAGCAAATGAGAGAAACATCTGGCAGAAACATCAGTGTTGGTAAGGTTTGACAGAAGTTCCGTTGTGGTACTGCACAACAGGACTGGGTGGTGCAACAATAATCCAAATATTAGGAATTTGAACAGGCATATTGGAACCATAAGTAACTGTAGTATTTCCATTTGTTGTGCTATATGGCAGTGTGTAGAGCAGGTATTAATAAAGAGTAAGCAGTCATTCATCAGCACTACTTTACCCTCACAGGGTTAGAATGAAATATCAGTTACATGTAAATTGACACTGGATCTGTCCACAGGTATCTGGGCATCTGTCATCCAATGAGGACCATCACACTAGAGAGCAAGCGGGTGGTGAAGGGGACCTGTGCCTCAGTGTGGCTTGTGGTCTTCGTACTCACCTGTCCTATCTTCAGGTTTGCACAGACAGGAGAAGTTACGAGGGGAGGCACAAGAGCTGTTGGACCAGAGGAGATGGAACTTGGAGACAACAGGACTGAGGAAAAGTATATGAACTGCTGGGACGATGCCATCGATAAGGACTTTGCTGAATATGTCCCATATGGCATTGTCCTTCATCTCATAGGCTTCTTTGTGCCCTTCGTCATTATCGCATGGTGCTACTCTCAGGTGGTTCGGACAATATTCCAGAGCCTGCAGTCTCCGCACAGCTCAATAGAGGGTGGTGAGGATGGAGCAGTTGGGGATGGAGGAGTTGAAGGATCTCGAGATCGGGAGAGAACTTCAGTTTCCATCTCTGGCTCCCAGTACTCGCACTACACCAGGAGAAGGCGTAAATCCATCAAAACCATTGTGACAATTACGCTGCTTTTTGCACTCTGCTTCTTGCCCTTCCATGTGACTCGGACATTGTTCCTGCTCCTGCGGCGAGGGCAGCTTGGTGGCTGCAACGCGATGAAGACCGTCTCCATCTGCTACAAGGTCACAAGGCCACTAGCGTCTTGCAACGCCTGGCTCAACGCCCTGCTCTACTTCCTGACGGGAGATAAGGGCACCCCCTGTTGTTGGCCAGCAGAACGGAGAGTTCACCAGGACAGGAAAAATGGCACCTTATGGTGGCCTTTAACGATACTGAAAAAGGAAGGACCAGGAGAGGAAGACCAGGAGGCAGCAGAGAAGGTTGAGGGAGAGCTGCAGATAGAGGATGAATCCAAGTCTTCACGAATCATCTTCTAGGACGATTCAAAAGAAAATGTTCTTCAAGCTGCTAGCACAATGCTAAACATCATCAGCTCCAACAAGCCAAGGTTATATCAAAACATCTGTCAACTAACATTAACAGCCATTTTGTTCCCAGCAGAGCTCTCTTCAACCTTCATGTGTGTTCCTGGTCCAACAAATGTGAATCAGATGGTTGGATTAATTCCTTGGATTGCAGCAAAGTTATGTAGAGTCCTGTTAACAATCCAGGCATTCAGTTTAAGTGTGTTGATGCTTAGACATCTGAAGACCACAACCTGGAGACTGCTGCTCTACAGAGATGAAAGCTGCCCTGTTTTAACAATGTGAACATGATGAGGCTGTCTGCTCTGCATTGACCTGGAGATACCACCCCCATAAACTATTTTACTCTTACCATCAACAGACAGCACTGTTAGAGAACAGCAACCTTCTGCATCATCAGCTCAGACTGGTGAAACAACCTTCCTGACTTAAACCCAGGATTGAGCTCTACTTTTCTTTATAAGAGTCACAATCTGCTGTTTTACTTAAACAATTCCTATGATTTTGTCATTTAATTCATGTTAAATCATTTGAGGGAGAAATTTTTTTTATTAGAGCTCATTATGACCCTTTTCCATACCGCTACGCACAAAATTTGACTTATCTGTATTCTTGTTCATGTAGCGTATGTAGTGTTAGCAGCATTAGCAGCTAGCCATGGTTGGTTTACCATCTTATCCAGGTCTCTTACACAATAAGTAACAAGTTATCCAATTAGCAAAATGTACTGACTGCCTCAGGTGATTCCCTGATTGGTGGAAGAGAGATGGGAATTGAGATAGCGAAGTAGGGTAATTTTAGTGCCCTTCTAGTAAATATGTAAAGGAAAAGGGCTAAAATCAAGCTAGTAGAACTGTTCTAAATCTGAACAAAAAAAACAAAAAAAAAACACATGAAAAAAAAGCACTCCAGATATTGCAGGAAGCTTTCATTGAAGCGCAACAACACACTTAACATTAGAAAGTCCGATTTCTGTGGGAAGACTCTTTTAAACTCAACTAGGTATTAGTTTTACAGAATAAGACAAATACTGAAGAAATATGAAGTTTCTTGAAGTTTGCCTTTATTATTAGCTGCAGTGATGTTAGAAACAAACTGCTCAGATGGATAAACTGAGACCAGGAACAAAGTACTGTGTGTTTGAACATTCCTGCTGTTTTGTCAATCTCAGGTCAGTTTCATTATTTTGTGTGTTTTGGTGTTTTTGTTTAAGAATTAAAGTGTGTTTGATCCTTCATGGTCTCATAAAGATCCATTTAATTAAATTCAGTTTTTTTCTCTAGCTTCATTTAACAAAACAGATTGGTTAGAATTTTTCTATCTAAGGAAAACCAGCTGATTGCATCCAGTCATTTCAGGATTCTCTCCTCCTGGATGAGCAGGTAGAGATGGATGATATTTACCCGGATTGTGTCACTGACTCTTCAGCAATCCCTCACACCAAGAATGCTTGTAGTGACAGTGGAGAGGAAAACAACCCAGGAAGAGACCTTCTGCTGAGGCCGACTGGGGTTCATGAAGACAGAGGCAGAGGTAGAAACGGAGCATAGAAGCACTGATCTAATAAATACTTTCAATGAGGAAAATCTAACAGTAAACAAACTCCATGGGTGGCTCTGTCTGAGAAAGAAAAAGTTAATCAGAAGAGCTCTGAGGAAGTTTTTAATGTCAAAGGAGGAAAAAGAGCACATCCAGTTAGTCCCAGTAAAAGCTGAGCCCATAGCTATGTCTGGGAGAGAAATGGAAGTAAACACTGAAAAATAGGCCCATCTCTATAATTTATAATCTTAGGTGTTGATGGAAGCAGGACAACTAATTTTTCTCTCCAGCATGGTGTCACAGCTGAATAGGAACAGACCAGCTTAAGCTACTATAATGATAAAAAGCAGAGAGAGCATAAAGTTAGAGGCTGAACTAACAAATACTGCAGAATGGGAGAATAGAGATAGAATGAAGCAGAATGATAACAAATGGCTCCCTATGTCCTCCAGCAGTCTAAGCCTATAGCAGCCTTACTATACAGATCATTTCAGGTTGTCTCTGTTTTGTTTGGCCGTTCAGAAAACCACTAGACCTTATCTATGAACTACTGGGACATTTAATCGCATTTTGAAGCAATATAGAATTAACCCAGCTAACGCATGGTTCTGAAGCATTTCAAGGTAGGTAACTGGTGTTTAACAATATAAAGTCTCCTTAATTGATATTAATCCTTATTAAATCAATCTGTTGGATTAGTTGTTCTCAGGATTACCATTTCTGTAGAATTAAAGCTGAATGAACCAAAACATTCTCTTCCCAAGTTCAAAGGTCAGTCTTCAAAAATATGATTATAATTTATTCCTATCAATCTTAAAATCATCTGTTGCTACACCTAAATGTAAACAAAAAATAAAAAACAAAGAACAATACCGTAATCCCAATCTGTTGTTACAGATTACAGAGATAATTAATGGAGGAGATTTGGAGGAACTGAACCCTGAAGATCATCAATCCTTCATAATTTTCCTTAAAACTTAAACAAAAACAAAAAAAAATCCACTAGACTTGGCTGACGTTTCGCTGCCCCTCCAGGAACCTTTCTCAATTTTACGGAATAAATATGACCTGGATGACTGAGAATCTTCACCAGCATAAATCCTTCATAACGTTTAATGAGTGGTAACACATGTTATGATATAAATCGACAGAATTTAGAGGGCACATTCATCCATCAATAGACAGATTAAAACAACTTGGGGTGAAGGAGGAGAATCAAACCCAGGAGGGAGATCAAATACAATAATTTAACTTTATTTATCTCAGACTGGAGAAATGTATCACTGCAGTTAACTCATCCCCAAGGGAATGGGTTAAATGCAGTGTGGGATTAAAAGACCCAGAGTGGGTACTTGCAACCTTCTCAGAGAACTGCTCTAACCCACTAGGCAAACACTCCACTCAAACCCACAACTTTCCAAATGTGAGATACAGGTGCTGGTCATAAAATTAGAATATCATGAAAAAGTAGATTGATTTCAGTAATTCCATTTAAAAAGTGAAACTTGTATATTATATTCATACATTACATACAAACTCATATATTTCAGATGTTTATTTTGTTTAATTTTGATGATTACAAATTACAACAAATGAAAATCTCAAATTCATCATATCAGAAAATTAGAATATTGTGAAAAGGTTCAAAATTGATGGCCCCTGGTGCCACACTCTAATCAGCTAATTAACTCAAACCACCTGCAAAAGCCTTTAAATGGTCTTTCAGTCTAGTTCTATAGGCTACACAATCATGGGGAAGACTGCTGACTTGACAGTTGTCCAAAAGACGACCATCGACACCTTGCACAAGGAGGGCAAGACACAAAAGGTCATCGCTAAAGAGGCTGGCTGTTCACAGAGCTCAGTGTCCAAGCACATTAATAGAGAGGCGAAGGGAAGGAAAAGATGTGGTCGAAAAAAGTGTACAAGCAAGAGAGATAACCGCACCCTGGAGAGGATTGTGAAACAAAACCCATTCAAAAATGTGGGGGAGATTCACAAAGAGTGGACTGCAGCTGGAGTGAGTGCTTCAAGAACCACCACACACAGACGTATGAAAGACATGGGTTTCTGCTGTCGCATTCCTTGTGTCAAGCCACTCTTGAACCACAGACAGCGTCAGAAGCGTCTTGCCTGGGCTAAAGAGAAACAGGACTGGACTGCTGGTGAGTGGTCCAAAGTCATGTTCTCTGATGAAAGTAAATTTTGCATTTCCTTTGGAAATCAAGGTCCCAGAGTCTGGAGGAAAAGAAGAGAGGCACTTCATCCACGTTGCTTGAAGTCCAGTGTAAAGTTTCCACAGTCAGTGATGGTTTGGGGTGCCATGTCATCTGCTGGTGTTGGTCCATTGTGTTTTCTGAGGTCCAGGGTCAACGCAGCCACATACCAGGAAGTTTTAGAGCACTTCATGCTTCCTGCAGCTGACCAACTTTTTGGAGATGCAGATTTCATTTTCCAACAGGACTTGGCACCTGCACACAGTGCCAAAGCTACCAGTACCTGGTTGAAGGACCATGGTATCCCTGTTCTTAATTGGCCAGCAAACTCTCCTGACCTTAACCCCATAGAAAATCTATGGGGTATTGTGAAGAAGAAGATGCAATACACCAGACCCAACAATTCAGAAGAGCTAAAAGCCACTATTAGAGCAACCTGGGCTATCATAACACCTGAGCAGTGCCACAGACTGATCGACTCCATGCCACGCCGCATTGCTGCAGTAATACAGGCCAAAGGAGGCCCAACTAAATACTGAGTGCTGTACATGCTCATACTTTTCATGTTCATACTTTTCAGTTGGCCAACATTTCTATAAATCCTTTGTTTTTATTGGTCTTCAGTAATATTCTAATTTTCTGATATGATGAATTTGAGATTTTCATTTGTTGTCATTTGTAATCATCAAAATTAAACAAAATAAACATCTGAAATATATGAGTTTGTATGTAATGTATGAATATAATATACAAGTTTCACTTTTTAAATGGAATTACTGAAATCAATCTACTTTTTCATGATATTCTAATTTTATGACCAGCACCTGTAACTACTCCTTACACAAGAACCAAAGGAGCACCTGTTTAGAAAACGCTGGTTACGAATTTTGTGTCTATAGTCATTAATTATTTGGAACTGATCTTTTTATGGTCCGTCCAGCTTCTCCTGTTTCATCCATCAGGGTCACGATGGGGCCGCTGTCTGTCTCTGGCAGTCTATGGACAAAAGGCAGGATTCAACCTGGACAGGTCACCGGTCCTTAGTAGGGAAACACAGAGACACACAGCCATGTACACACACACTTAATGACAATTTAGAGATGCTAATTCACTAACACTCACGCTCTGGGAGAGCGTGCAGAAAGAGACTGATTCAGGAATAAAACAAAGGACCTTCTTGTTGCAAGGCAACAGTGCTACAAACTTTACACTAGGTAGCCCTGTGCATGTGTTTCTAGTCTTTGGGAAATAGGCTTTTTATTTTTAATTATATTTTATATGTGTGTGTGTATGTGTGGATATACCCCCATGCACCTTTTCTTCCTTTGGCACCTTCTTCTTTTTGACTATTTGAGCTGATGTATCAAGTACATTTCTCCATTGTGAGATCAATAAAGTCAATCAATCAATCAACCAATCATTCAATCAATCTAACAGAAGTAATTTAAAAAAGTTGATTCAATGTTAATGTTATTTTTCAGTGTAGGTTTGCTTCATTCAGTGTGAGGGATCGTCTGGCCTTTGCACAACATTAGTTGTGTTTAAAGTTAATTCAGATCATCTCTAATTATCTTTATTTTCTGTCCACTTTGTAAGGATCCTTCTTTCTAGGAATTTGCCCAAATATATTAGTCCATTAAAACCCTAACAGTCCAAGGTGCAGACTAGGAAATGGATTCATAGTTACATACCTCTCTGCAGCTTTTCTAAATCATATAAAATAGAAAAAAAAAATCCTGAATGCATAAATCATTATAATCGAATTGAAATAACAATAAAAAAAAGTAATAATAATAATAAAAAAAAGTTTAAACAATTATATTAGCATATTTTAAATAAAATCTTACAGCTGATGCAAAAAGCTGCTCAGAGTTCTTTTGAAAAAGGAAAACATAGAGCATATCTCTCTTATTCTGGCTTCTCTTCATTGGCTTCCTGTTAAATCCAGAATAGAGTTTAAAATCCTCCTTCTCACATATAAAGCCTTAAATAACCAAGCTCTATTTGATATCAGATATTTGATTATTTCTTATGTTCCAAACACAAGGAACAATCAGAGCACACTCTCAATCTGCAGGTTTACTAGTGGTTCCTAGAATTGCTAAAAATAGAATGGGAGGCAGATCTATTAGTGTGGAACCAACTACCAGTTTTAGTCTGTGAGGCAGACACTCTACTGTCTACTTTTTATTATAAAGCAAGGCTTAAAACTTTCCTTTTTGATAAAGCTTATTGTTAGAGTGGCTCAGGTTATCCCGAGCTATCTCTAAAGTTCTGCTGCTATAGGCTTAGACTGCTGGAGGACATAGGGACCCATTTTTCATCATTCTGTTTCATCCCATCTCTATTTTCTCATTCTGCAGTATTTGTTATTTCAACCTATAACTTTATCCTCTCTGCTTTTTTTCATAGTAGCTTCATCTGGTCTGTCCCTGTTTGGCTGTGACTACATCCTGGAGAGAAATATCTGCTGTGCTGCTGCCACCAACACCATTGTTAATAGATATTGGAGCTGGGCCTTTTTTCAGTGTTTAGTCCTGTTTCTCACCTAGACATAGCTATGGGCTCAGCTTTTACTGTGACTGACAGGATTTGCTCTCTTTAATCCTTTGACATGAAAACTGGATCAGAGTTCGTCCATAGGTGGCCCACATAGAACTTCAACCTCATTTGGCTTCAGCAGATGGCTGCTCACCAGAGCTTGGTTCTTTTTCTATTGGAGCTTTCTGCTAAAGGGAGTTTTCCCCTCCGCTGTCGCTGCATGCATGCTTGGTGCGAGGGATTGCTAAAGAATCAATGGCTGAATCCCAAACAGGCTCTTAAACACTAACCCTCCATTTGTGTTTCCGCAGAGGTTCTGTCACATTAAGGGCCATCCCAGACCACATAGGGGGTAGGGCCAGAAGGGCGATTTGAATTTGGCAGTGTATCTATCTTTATCTCACTGATAAAATATTCCAAGTTAGAAAAAAGACATTGTTGATCCCCAAATGAAAGGTCCTCTTTGAAACTGTTTTGACTGCATAGATTTATTTTCAAGAAAATAGCTAATATTTGATGTTATGTTAAGCTGCGCCACAGAGCTAGAATAATGCACATTGCGTTACCATAGCAACGGCTATCCCATTCACATCTATACCCCCCGTGTACAATCTAGACCCCTTTCACATCTGCGATTGAGACTTCATTGGGAGTGACACTTGATAGGTAAAGGGTTAGTGCTTAGGGGGTGCCAATATCTCCTGTCTCATCCTGCTCATCCAGGAGGAGAGAATCTTTTAAAGTCAATAACTGGATGCAATCAGCTGCTTTTCCTCGGATGGAACCTTTGAACTTTTAATCTAGCTGGATAAGTTGATTGATCTGGATCTATAAAGTGACCTGAGGTGATTTGATGGGGGTTTGAGGTATAGAAATAGACTAAATTTAATCAACATGTTCACCCTTTGAACTTCAAAGTCCTTTTTTTATTTCATTCTTGGAGAATCTGGGGGGCATCAAATAGAAAATAACATAATTTGGCTAGAACATGGAGGATTCTGAAAGAACCTGGCAAGTTCCTCCTGTGGGTCCCTGACAGTTTGAGTCACATGTTCATCATTCAGTTCTGGATGTTTGCTGTTCCAATGTCTGCTGGTCTTCTGCTCCAAAGACCTTCACGGTGGCCTTAAAGGAAGGGTTTAAAAGAGGATTTGAACTTTTAAACAAAGGAATCTTGATCAAAAGTCTTTATTCAAATTAAACAGAACATCAGAGTAAACATTTAGATCAGAAGCTGAAGCCTCTGGGAACAAATGGATGGAAATAATTTAATTTTTTAATGATGTAAAAATTAATGTTAGATCTAAAATATTTATCTGTGAAGATAATCAGCCTTTAAAGTGCAGCACATGGTGGAAACCGTGAGACAACGAAGAAATGCAGTGAATTAATTAATTCAATTAAAAGAGGTAGTTCAGGGTGTAGTTCTTCTCTATGAGCAGTAGGTGGAGCCAAAGTACGACCACACTGAGAAAAGGCATGATGGAGAACATAAGGAGGACAAGCTGGACCTTCTCAGAGGAACGTCCTACAGAGTGGATCTGTCCCGGTTTTTATTCCTGAACCGTCCTCAGTTGATCCGCTCCCACTGGGTGGCGCTAACCAGCCTGTAGTTCAATCCTCTGTAGTTTTCGGGGTGGACCCGTCTCTGCTGCCACACCTCCTCATACAGGCTCCGGACCACCGGCGGGAGCGGCGGGAAGCCGGCGGCATCGGCCAGCGCGTCGCAGTATTCCCACTGATCCTGGTCCATCTTCAGCAGGTGGTTCTGCTGGACGCCGCGCCCCAGCTTGGTCTGCTGCTCCCTCTGCACCTCTTCCTCCATCTGCTCCCGAGGTGGCAGGGTGACGGACCCGTCCAACACGGCCAGGGCGAACTGGACCTGCGGAACAGAGAGAAGTCAGCAGCAAGCTCTGGCTGTTAAAACTCGACCTGCAAAAGCTCCGGCTCACCTGGCAGTTGAAATTGGGGAAGGGGCAGATGATCTTGCAGATGCCGATGAAGAAGAGCGAGGGAAAGGCAGGAGGCAGGATGTAGCGGTACAGGGGGGACACCACATGGTCCTGGATCTCCAGGCCCAGCCGGGCAGAGTCCAGGAAGGGGTAGCTGAAGTTGTAGCCGGTGCAGAACATCAGGACGTCAGCCCGGCACAGCGAGCCGTCCTAAGGGGAAAATTTCAAACCAATCAGAGGCCGGTTTAATATCAACATGACGCTGATGACCTCAGAACCAGAACTGTCTTTCTTTAAGATTTCATTTCTAGAAAATCACGTTTTTTTTTCCCCAATCAACCCTCCCCTTTGGCGTCCATCGTGACATCAGCTCATCACCTGCAGACGTCTCCTCATCACCTATAAACCAGCTCACTGTTCGATCCACCAGCTGCTAACATTTAATTTCTTACATTTTCATTGTTTGCTGTCAGATTTTTCAGCTTGAATTTCGTTGCCGTTTAGATTAAGATCAGCTCCCAGAGAGGATGATTTAAATAAAAGCGACATTTTGAAAAAATATACGTCACTTACATTTTTTATTACGAAATGTAACTATATTTGTTTTGGTCAGATTTGGTAGGAAAAGAATCATAGGTTGGCTTTTTGGGCTGTAACGCCCAGAGTAAGCTGGAAGTGGGTCGCCCACCTGAAGGCGAATGCTGCCGTCCTCGTCCACCGCCACCACAGAGCTGGACTCCTGAATCCCAGCAGGAAGAGGAACGGCCAGTGGAGCGTAGCGGTGACACAGGATGACCTGCAGAAAGACCAGCTGGTTATTGGTTCGGCCCCAGACAGCCTATGATGTCATCAGACAGAGAAAAGGCTGACATGCTCAGTTCTGAAGAACGTTCTATTGTTCTAATAAATTCTATCGCTGATGGTACCTTGGCTCCGGTTTTGACCAGTTCTATGGAAATGTCCAGTCCAGAAGCTTTAGCTCCCAGAACCACCACCGTCTGACCCGAGAACGGCTCAGGGCAGCGGTAGGAGTGGCTGTGCAGAACCTTTCCTGCAGACACACAGCGTTTCACTGAGCTTCTTTATTCTATTCTGACCTTCACTGGGTGAAGCAGAAACACGGTACCTTTAAAGTTCTGGATCCCTGGGATCTGCGGGATGTGAGGGTCAGAGTAATGCCTGAAGAGAGAGAAAAAAAAACCCAACCTAAAAATCATTATTCTGCCTTAAAAAGAAGGAAGTTGTAGTTACTATAAATGAGAAACGGGACGCCCCACACGGGGATGGAAAACAGGCGTTGCTATGACAACACAGATGCCAAATGTGAATGGCAAACTCCTGTTACCTGCTTTCTATTCGACTTCAACATCTTGTGGCTGTCTTGGGGGAAAGGGGGCCGATATAAGCTTCGTTTTTACAAAGATTGTTTATCTAATAATAAATGAGAAACAGACAGGAATGTAGAACTTGTTGCTGCCGTCCCCACTCTCTTTGGGATCTGCTGTTTTCTGGAAAAGCTGCTGCCTGGGCGGACATGGCGAAGGGGAGGTGTAACCGGAGGGTTAGTGCGTAGGCGGCGTGTTTAGGGGCCTTGATCTCTGCTGAACTGTTGCTTCTAGACACCTGCAGTAAAACCATGGATCCATGGTTCTGGTTTCTTCTTCTGCAAACTTTCTAACATCAGATGTCACCAAATGCAAATGCACATCTTAAAGTCATAGGGAAATATTTAAACGTCAAATCATTGTGGCTTAAACATGTATATAAATATCCTGGAGGAGACTCATCCACGACCTCCGACACAAAACTCTCCTCCTCATGCATGTTTCCTCTGTCCATACCGTTCCTGTGTGTTGTTTTTAAGTCAACAATTTAGTACTACTTGGTCCTAATGGAATTTCCCATTGGGAAATTCTTCCGACAAACCAGCCTTAATCAAACTTGCTTGCAAACTTTCCATAATCGACCAATCACATTCACTTTATTCACTTGTGTAAAGTCGGACACCTCTCGGGAGAATTTGGAAATGCAACATTTGGAACAGCCGCTTTCCTACGACTTTAAATATAATCATCTATATTGACTTACTATATAGATTTAAGCATTGAAAGCCTTTCCATGACGGGATGTAACTCCATATTCAATCAAATGAATTAACCCCTTGAGCCTGACTGGTCCGACAAAGGGTCCAACTGACACCTGCTCATGTTTATCTCTTTATAGAAATGGCCAAAACACAGTCACATGGTGTTTCATCCACACGCCTTTCAATTGGGGCTTTTAAGTTTCTAAAACATGTTTAAAAATTATTTTTTCACAAGTACTTTTAGTTTTATAGCTGTATAAACAAATAAAATGAGTTATACTTCCAACTGACATGTGTGACTCTGTGGGAGTAATGCAACAGCAGGTATTCATTTAAAGCCACACCCCCTAATGGCCGGCATCATTGGAAACTAAAGGCTCAGACTTTTCCAAGGAGGGGTCGGAGGTAATTGTGCAACCGTTTCAGGTGATGGAACCGGCATGCGTTACATAGGCTTACTCTGTTATTCTTATTTTCTATTCAGTTTGGTGATATTATTGGTAAATGTGAAATAAAAAACGGCTAAATCTTAGGAGTAAAGGCTTTGTCTTTTCCAAAAGGTCTCCAATAACGTAAATCAGCATATTTGTCTGACCAGATTCCCTCTTATGAGTGAAAAAATGTTTACACATTTGGTATTGTGTCAAAATCCCATTTCCGCCGAGCACACTGCCCACCAAACCTTTGTGGAACAAACATGCTTCAACTTATTTAGTCCAAAAGATGTGGATCTATAAAGTCTGAAGGTTTCGTCCAGAGTTTCAAATGAGATTTCATGGTGTGCGATGCTCATTTTGGACGGCTAAATATTTTTCATTTTGTCTTTGTTAAATAACCTAATAAATCAGACATGGTTACATTTAAAATAGTGGTTCCACCTGAAACATATTCCTCAAAGCCTTTCTGTCTTACAAATACAAACAATTGTATTTCCAATGTATAGTTTGCTGTACTTGCTTTAATTCACAGATGTGATTTCAGGCGGAGTTTGATCATAAGACCTTCAGGACTTAATGGCTCATCTGTTTTGAACATGTTTAAAACGTAGAGAATTGATTGAAAGGATCCCTAAAAGGAATCCACCTTTTATTTTCTGACGATGAGGTCAGCGATAAAGAGGTCAGGATTCAGTTACCGTGGTAACATGGGTCTCACCCTGAGCAGATGAACACGGCGTCGAACGCCTCGGTTCTCAGGCAGCCCGATGAATCCGCTGATGTCACTTCCCAGGTGAGCTTCCTCCCCTCACTGTCTGTCGTCATGGTAACAGGCGTTATGTTTTCCACTGCCGAGTTGAACTGTTGAAGGAGAAGGAAACATGAGGCGGTCACACAAAGTGGAGGTTCTGTTGGACTCGGGCCGACGACTCACCCGGATGTGAGGCCGGATCCCGAAGTTGTCACAGTACCGCTCCAGGTACCGCTGGACCTCCTGATGGGGCAGGAAGCTGCTCAGCTGCGGCTCGAAGGGGAAGTCGGGGAACATCATCACCTCTTTAGGCAGGTTGGTTCTGTTCGGACACAGAACCGGGTCATGCGGGTTCAGGAATGCTACCTCTTGCTAGCGGACAGGTGAACCTACCTGAGGTCTCGGTACATGCTGCTCAGCACCGGCCGCCCGTTCGGGTACGACCCGACCCGCTCTTCGTAGCACCAGGTTCCGCCCACATTCCCGCTGAGCTCAAAGACCACCGGGGGGGCGAAGCCGGGCCGGGCCAGAACATGCCGGGCCGCACAGAGTCCGGCTGCCCCCGCCCCCACCACCGCCACCCTCTGCAGCATCCTGGTGACCCGGTCCACCTGGACAACGACAAACATTACAAGTCCGGAGGCGGTTCTGTAAACCCAGAACTAACCTGGATTAAAGATCTGGGCCAGACATCAATCCCAGAAGGTTCCTGAACATCCTGCAGCTTTAATGGAAAAGAACCTGGCCTCTACAGAACCAGAACCTCTCAAACAGATCGGATGCAGGTCAAATAGTTTGGAGGTTCTGCTCTCTGACTGGACTGTACAGGTGCTGGTCATAAAATTAGAATATCATGAAAAAGTTGATTGATTTCAGTAATTCCATTTAAAAAGTGAAACTTGTATATTATATTCATACATTACATACAAACTCATATATTTCAGATGTTTATTTTGTTCAATTTTGATGATTACAAATGACAACAAATGAAAATCTCAAATTCATCATATCAGAAAATTAGAATATTACTGAAGACCAATAAAAACAAAGGATTTATAGAAATGTTGGCCAACTGAAAAGTATGAACATGAAAAGTATGAGCATGTACAGCACTCAGTATTTAGTTGGGCCTCCTTTGGCCTGTATTACTGCAGCAATGCGGCGTGGCATGGAGTCGATCAGTCTGTGGCACTGCTCAGGTGTTATGATAGCCCAGGTTGCTCTAATAGTGGCTTTTAGCTCTTCTGAATTGTTGGGTCTGGTGTATTGCATCTTCTTCTTCACAATACCCCATAGATTTTCTATGGGGTTAAGGTCAGGAGAGTTTGCTGGCCAATTAAGAACAGGGATACCATGGTCCTTCAACCAGGTACTGGTAGCTTTGGCACTGTGTGCAGGTGCCAAGTCCTGTTGGAAAATGAAATCCGCATCTCCAAAAAGTTGGTCAGCTGCAGGAAGCATGAAGTGCTCTAAAACTTCCTGGTATGTGGCTGCGTTGACCCTGGACCTCAGAAAACACAATGGACCAACACCAGCAGATGACATGGCACCCCAAACCATCACTGACTGTGGAAACTTTACACTGGACTTCAAGCAACGTGGATGAAGTGCCTCTCTTCTTTTCCTCCAGACTCTGGGACCTTGATTTCCAAAGGAAATGCAAAATTTACTTTCATCAGAGAACATGACTTTGGACCACTCACCAGCAGTCCAGTCCTGTTTCTCTTTAGCCCAGGCAAGACGCTTCTGACGCTGTCTGTGGTTCAAGAGTGGCTTGACACAAGGAATGCGACAGCAGAAACCCATGTCTTTCATACGTCTGTGTGTGGTGGTTCTTGAAGCACTCACTCCAGCTGCAGTCCACTCTTTGTGAATCTCCCCCACATTTTTGAATGGGTTTTGTTTCACAATCCTCTCCAGGGTGCGGTTATCTCTCTTGCTTGTACACTTTTTTCGACCACATCTTTTCCTTCCCTTCGCCTCTCTATTAATGTGCTTGGACACTGAGCTCTGTGAACAGCCAGCCTCTTTAGCGATGACCTTTTGTGTCTTGCCCTCCTTGTGCAAGGTGTCGATGGTCGTCTTTTGGACAACTGTCAAGTCAGCAGTCTTCCCCATGATTGTGTAGCCTATAGAACTAGACTGAAAGACCATTTAAAGGCTTTTGCAGGTGGTTTGAGTTAATTAGCTGATTAGAGTGTGGCACCAGGGGCCATCAATTTTGAACCTTTTCACAATATTCTAATTTTCTGATATGATGAATTTGAGATTTTCATTTGTTGTCATTTGTAATCATCAAAATTAAACAAAATAAACATCTGAAATATATGAGTTTGTATGTAATGTATGAATATAATATACAAGTTTCACTTTTTAAATGGAATTACTGAAATCAATCTACTTTTTCATGATATTCTAATTTTATGACCAGCACCTGTAGGTCCGAGCCCAGATTGTCCAAGTTACTCACTGGAACAGTCGGGTTAATAATCTGGTCTTGAGTTTAGACTCTGCCTCAGAGGTTCTGTCCAGTTAGAGATAAAAGAACAAATTCATCAACGAAGAACCGAACCCAGAGTCCAAAGTGAAAATCGCCTCTAGTTTAATATTACACCATGGAGGTTCTTTAGATCTAGAAACTGGATCAATCATTTGTGTCAAGAGTTGATTTTGGTACCAGATCCAGAGATGATGGGAAACCTCTGATCGTCTTAAAAACCAAAAAGAGTTTATTTTTCTTCTGGGTTTCAGATGAAACCCTGTTAACCATCAAGCTGCTGACTGGGGTTCTGGTTCTGTTGGATCTATGAGTTGCAGTGGATCATCAGATCCTCACGTTACCGAACCTGTTTCCAAATGGAGCCTCGGGGCTCTTCAATGGTCCGATAGCCTCTCCTGTTGGGTCGGTTCTCCAGAAACCCGGTCCATTACGCAGATCAGTTCTATAGAAAGCAGAACCGTTCCTCTGTAAACCAAGTATATTAAAGGTCCAGACTTTAGGAACGACTGAACTTCAGAACCTGGATCGTGTGTTCTGGTTCCTCCGGTACCATTTAAAGGAGCAACAGAAGATTGGAGATGCAGAGATTACGGAAGAGAATTAGGGCCACTGAAAAAACAAAAATAAGTTAACTGATTTTTAAATATTATTTCAGCTTAATATGGGGGGAAAAGTCAGAATTCTGACTTTTTCTCAGACTTCTGACTTTAATGTCATAATGTTGGATCGTAATGTAGATGGGCACCATGAAGGAAGAAATGTGCGAGCACTCAGCTTCACTGACAAAGATGCGAGTTGTTTGGGACGGCCAGTAACACATTGGTGTTACTGGCCGTCCGCAATTAGGCAACTTTTTACGTGCCAGAGGGGTCCCAGGTGATGCTATTTCATTAATGGAAGAGCAGAAGGTTATTAAAACAAGAGAGCTAGTTTAGTTTCTAAAACAAACATGGCTATGGCTTTATGCTAACATGTTGGTTAGCTGTCAGAATTCTGAGATTAAAGTCAGAATTTCGAGAAAAAAAGTCTGAATTGGGAGAAAAAAGTTTTAACTGGTAGAAAAAAAGTCAGAATTGGGAGAAAAAAAGTCAGAATTCTGAGATTAAAGTCAGAATTTTGAGAAACAAAGTCTGAATTGGGAGAAATAAGTCAGAATTGGTAGAAAAAAAGTCAGAATTGGGAGAAAAAAAGTCAGAATTGGGAGAAACAAAGTCAGAATTGGGAGAAACAAAGTCTGAATTGGGAGAAAAAAGTCAGAATTCTAAGATTAATCAGAAATCTGACTTTTTAACTCATATTATACTGAAAAAAATGTCAAAAATCAATTTACTTTTTTAATCTTTTTCAGTGGCCCTTATCCTCTTCCGTAAGAGACAGAAAATGTTGAGCTGTGACTAACTCTGTATTCAGAACCAACTGGACCGGACCGATTGTCTAACTGTGTCAGAACTCAAAGTACCAGATGGTCCCTGAGTCCAACTGGACCTCAATGTTCCGGCTGCCCGCTGGGAAGAAACGTCCTGAACTGATTTAAACCAGTGAGCTGACTTGATGCGAACCGGGACACTTTTCACTTGATCTTTTCCAGAACTTTCTGCCGTATAGAAGAAAAAAAGGTTTAATAAGCAGCCCTGCTGCTCACTGGTTTCTGACCCGGTTCGGACTTTGGCCCCTGAAACAACACCGGATCACCCGGGACACAGGGCCGAGACACTTTGTTAGAAAAACGGAACCAGAACTTTAATACCGAACCACAGATGGACAGAATCTGTCAAAAAGAAAACACAAACTGCGCCTGCGTAGAAAGACACTGATGATAGTAACAATCAGCCGCTCCGCTCAGAGCGGCAGCGTTCGATCAATAATAACCAATCAGATCATCTGTTACCGAGGTTAATGTCCGGGTTGGTTCCGCTGCGGTTCGGTTGGACTCCTGCAGGACGAACCGGTTCTACCGTGGAGCGACTCCCTAGACAACACCGAGGAGTTTACAACAAGTGTTACACATAGAAATGTTCACCCAGAATCATGGAAACAGCTGGACTCGCCCCGTTTCCGCCATATCGAGACAACTTCCGCTTTAGACCCTTCATAATAAAAGGGGGGATTTCATTCTCAAAATAAGGATAATACAAAACAAAACCCTTTACTTTATATTGAGGAAATCTGTGCATCAGAGAAGATGAAGCAAGAAGACAAAATATTACAGACCTTTAACTTGGGGCTGGGTAAATAATATAAAACTAAGACATTAAACCGCAGCAGTGGAGAAAGAAAAAACAACTATAGGCTGGTTATTAATAAAAAGCTATGTTCAAGTCAAAATAAAAAATGCAACAATTTCACAGAGAGAAAAACTGAGATGATCTATTTTCCTGTTTCTGTTCTCCACAGCTTCACTCAGTGACTGGACGATAACAATTCACCCAGATTTAAAAACAGAATTGAAATCAGTCAGTTTCCATGCTGATGGCAGTGAGTTCGTCCCCAGGAAGCTGAGGGCAGAGGGTCCTGCTCAGGGAACCGATGCAGCACCTGGTCCAGCTCAGGGAACCGATGCAGCACCTGGTCCAGCTCAGGGAACCGATGCAGCACCTGGTCCAGCTCAGGGAACCGATGCAGCACCTGGTCCAGAGAAATTCAGGTTCTGCTGCTGAAATGACTCCATCTGTTCCAGGAAACCAGCTGAACCAAAACGTTTTATTACAAAAGCAGAACGCAGCAGAAACAGGAAACAAAGCTGGATTTTGCTGAACTCTGACTTCAGCTTCATTGCTGAACATCAGCAGCCTCAGATGAGCTGCAGCTTCGTCCTACAGAAGTCCACGACGGATCGGACCAGTTCCACAGAGGGACGGCTGCTTCTGCATAACGTCCATCACTTGGCGGCGGCGTTGCCGTGCAGCGGCGGCTGCTGCGGCGGCGGCTGCTGCTGCTCGGCCAGCGCCTGCTGCAGTCGCGTGCGCTTCCTGGAGTAGTGCTGCCAGTGCAGCAGCTGCTGCTCGTCGATGAACTTGGCGCACTGGGCGTTGACCAGCTCCTTCCTGAAGTGTTCGTACTGCAGCAGCTCCAGCATGTGGAGGCAGTGAGGGTACCTGCGGGAGAGCAGAGACGCTTAGACCTCTGGGTAAAGCAGAAGAAGAACCTGTTTGGATCCCAAACGATTCTTTACTCTGCAAAAACGATCTAAAAATAAGTCAAAATATCATAAATGAGGTGTATTTACCCTCAATTTGAGTAGGAAAAAAGATGATTTGCCAATATATATCATGTCATGTGTAATTAATACATGTATTTTACATATACATCATCAATTTAGCACTTTTGGCGCTTCAGTATCATTATGCTAAAAAAGAAAGAAAGAAACTCCTGTTCCTAACAAACACAGAGAAACAGTATCAAAGGAAGGAATTAAAAAAGGTAAGAGGATAAAACCTTCACTGGATGAACGCAAATAAAATGCATCATAAATCTGTTTCCTTCATTATAAACTGAGTCTGATCCTCATTAGGCCCGCCCCCTTATCTACTCAGACTGACAGCAGCCTTTTCCCCCCATGAGATCCATAAGCTCTTGAGACCATCGACCTTCAGACTGGGTCAGAATTGTTCTGGTTTGATCCGACTTCACCGAGAGGTGCTAATTAGCCTAGCCCCCTTACTTCCTGGTTTACCGGCTCTGCACATGCTCAGTATGGCACGTCTGGTAAAAAATACCAGCAGCAGGGCGCCGTCACCTTTCAGAAAAACTCAGTTTGCAGTCAGAACCAGTTACTGGGTTTAAAAGACATCGAGACGGGCCTTTATACCCGCCGACCTAAACGCCTCCTTCAGAACCTCATTGGTGGAGATGACTTGAAAGGTGCTGCAATAATTCAGAGCTCAATAAGAGCGATCGTATAAAGGAAATTAGTTTAATCGGACCGGCACCACACAGTTAGTTGGTCCATTTTACCACAAACAGAACGGCAGCTGAAATCCAGAACCATGAAGAACATTTGACCCTGACTGGATCAGGGAAAACCTCACTACGTCCCATCTACTGTCAGAATCCGAACCAATGACTGAGATACAGGAGGATGGTATCGGACCTGTGAAACGAGGTTCTGCAGCTGGACTTACTTGAGGAACTTGGCGTATTCGGGTTCCTTCCAGTACAGCAGGTACTTCAGGTAGTTGATGAATGGTCTCTCCCTCAGGTAGCCTCTCTGAGCCAGAACTGCAACATAAACACACGACCCGGTTCAGCAGCAGAACGGACCCATCTCTCTGCTTCCTAAACATCCTCCATCGGCTTCTAGACTAACAACCGTTCTGTTAACTCTGGTTCTTTTGCCCAGTAAAAGCCAGAGGTCATCAGAACCAGTTCCTGGGAACAGGTTCTGACCCGGATCCAGTCTGGTTCTGCTTTCTTCCCTCTGGCGGTGCTGGATGTTCAGAACCACCCAAATTGTTTCTAAAGGAAAGCAGCAGAGAAAACTGGTTCTGAAGGAGCGGGTCGGTGTTCTGTCGGACCAGCATACTCATAGCCAATATGATGAGCAAGACGTCACATTTACGTTTATCCCTTTAGTTTTATACGAAAAATAGACTTTAAACTACCTCAATGGGAATGCATCCCTTTAGTCATGTCCAAAAAAAACTATTTAATTACTTAAGGCTGATTTATGCTCAGAAACCAGGTCATCTGTGTGTGTCGAAGTGAATGTAAATGTGCCCCCGCCCCTCCGCAGACACTCTGCTGCACCTCTCCCAAATTGTAGGTGACCGCAGACAGGAGGCCTCTGATTGGTCAAATCTACATCCGCTCTACACTATGCGTATTTCCTGTTTGGTGCCTTACACGCTTGTTTTGTCTGTATGGCCGCCATTGTGGAAAATGAGTGGTGAAGATGGACCAGCTAGAAGAGTGAGGTGCGTGAGAACGCTGGGACCCTTTTTCCCCCTGGATCCCCGCTCTTTTTCACCCTCATGTCCCTCCATTTTCGCACAAACTTGCCCCACTTCCTCACTGCCTCGGCCGTATATAGACCCACAGCTAGTTCATGATGGTCCCTCTTACGTTGTGGCGTGAAATAACAGCGCAGACCACGCTTCAATATTGGGCATAAATCAAAAATATCTGCGACAAGCTCACTGCGACACACTGCTGCGGGAGGATAACCAGGCCTTTCCTTTTTGATGTTTTTTGAAAGGTATGGTGACCTGACCTTACACTTTTTTTTTTGTACATGACTTAAGGGATAAATGCCTGTTGAGGTAGTTTAAAGTGTATTTTTTGTAAAAAAATTAAAGGCATACGCTAGGCTTGTCCCGATCCGATCCACGTATCGGATCGGGACGCCGATATTGGCAAAACAATGCGTATCGGCAAAGCATGTAAAATGCCGATCCAGACTGCCGATCCAGTTTTTGGAAAAAAATCTGGTCCGTATTTTCCAGTTTCGCCGATTGAAATGATCCATTCCACTATTTTGCGCCAGTGTTTCCCTGTTTTGCATTTTTATTAAAACTTACAGTAATACTTGCACCTATAACTGTTTACGGTTTTACTGTTCACTGTGCAATTTCAGATTGCTATTCATAATTTTGTCCAGTTTGTGTTTATCTCTTAATAAACAGGTAAGTTTGTTGTTACCAAGCATTGTGTTTTATTCAATCTCACCTAATTTAGCTGGCTAGATGTTATCAAGAGTACTAAAACCCTTTTCAACATGAGTCTTACAACTAAGGCTAAATACTTTAACTTAAACTTAAATACATGCTCGGATAGGCTGGTATCGGCCAGTATCGGTATCGGATCGGAAGTCCAAAAACAATATCGGTATCGGATCGGAAGTGCAAAAACCTGGATCGGGACGTCTCTAGCATACGCGCAAATCTGACATCTTGCGCATGCATGCTGGTCTGACAGAACACCGGGCCCAAATAAACAAACCAGACCTGTGGTATCTGGTACCAATTCCAATCGGCTAAATGTGGATCAGATTTCCTTTAACAGGTGAGTCAGTTCAGAGCAAAGATATGTCCAAAGGTTTCACTGAACAGATGGTCACTCTGACTTTAAAATGTTCCTAAAAAAGAAAATTAAAACAATCCACTGGAACAATCCGTTTTAAGACGATTCGCTTCCCATCCAGGAAGCTTTTGCAATTCAAAATGTCAGGAATAGTTGAGTTCCAGGCTCTATACACTAGCTCAGCAAAGGCTGTCAAAAGAAGCCAAAGGACCCCCATTCCAAAGGGATGGACTTATTCATCAATGGCAGTTTGCATGTTTTCAAAACAAAAACAAAGCTTTGATGATCTACTGAATAAAACCTCGAACTCAACACTATTCCTGACATTTTAAATTGAAAAAGCTTCCTGGATGGGAAGAGAAATGTCTTCAAACTTGGAAAGAAAATATCTTCCCTTGCAAATTAAAAACCTTATGCTAACATCATGTCTGCATCTGCAGGATGATGTGACTTTAATCCAGCCTGTTCAGTTGAAGCTGCTGGTTCTGTCCCACTGAGAGGTTGGTCGGATTTTCCAACCAGTCCACATTTGGTTCTATTTGGTGTTCAGTGATAATGAAGCCTTTCGATAAAAAAAAAAAAAAGAGAGAAATAATCCTTTATTTCAACACCTTCATCCCAGATTGAGGGCGTTCTTTTACTCACAGTTCAGGTAGTTCGGGTTTGCCAAACACTGGACGAACTCTAATTCGGACTGAAACCGGTTCCGAGCCTGTTCCTCTGGAGAAAAACAGAACAGACCAGAAAAAATAAACATTTTAAATAATTGTTCTCTTCACCAGACTCCATTTAAAAACAAACAAACTACAATTTAACGCTGGACTGTAAAGTACATTAAACTCTCCCCTCTGTCTGAAAACGCGGATTATAAAACATCACAGGATTAACCAACCATTATTAATACAAACCAAACACATAACTAAAGCTATCAACGATAAAATGAAACAAAACATTTAGTCTCTTAGACTGCATTCAGAAAGGGATATAAATCAACCTACCCGTTTCCATGACAATAGATTGTTTGACCGTAAAATGGAGTAATTATTTTTTTAATCTGTAATAAATCCAGATGATCAGGGACTCTAATGCTCAGATGGTTGATCTTTGTTGAAGTTCGCTGGCCGCCATCAAACGTTCATCGATGCAACTGTCGCGTATCTACGACACATCCGTCCGCTTTACGGCTGTTGCTGTTCCTTATCTGGCCACCAGAGGGAGACATTTAACAGCCTTTTTCTTTCAAAATCCGGCTGAGGACTGAGCTGAACTAATTTTCATCTTGCTGAAGTGATTTTATCTCTGTTTTAAACGTTTACAATAAAAATTTGACACAGATGCAACTTTTATTCGCCTTATTACTGACAGTAAAGCCTCTAAGCAGACTTGGGGGCCAAGGTGAAATCTCAAACTGATGGGTTTGTTCCTTTGCTGCAGGGAGTATCATCCTGCAGTATGGAATTTGCAATTTCTGAAACAGCTTCTTTCCCACCGCCATCAGACTGCTGAACTAACTCTGCATCACACTGACAACACCAACCAAAACACTGCATATTTGCACCACATATGCTTTGAACTCCCATATAAATGTACGATGGAGTATTAGGGCTGAGCCAGAGATTTTTTCTTTCTATTTCAACTATAAAGTCGTAAAATTATGAGAATAAAGTCACAACATTACGAGAATAAAGTTGTAAAACTACGAGAATAAAGTTGTAACATTACAAGAATAAAGTTGTAAAACTACGAGAATAAAGTAATAAAATCATGCGAATAAAGTCCCAACATTATGACAATAAAGTCATAACATTACAAGAATAAAGTTGTAAAATTATGAGACTATAGTCGTAAAATAAATAAAGAATAAAGTCATAATATGAGGAAAAAGGTCATAAAATTACGAAAATAAAGTCGTTAAATTAGAAAAAATAAAGTTCAATTGAATTCAATTTGGTTTATTTCTATAGCGCCAATTCACAACAGATGTCATCTTAAGGCACTTTACAGTTCAACCAGATCATCCAGTCAAATTGATTCAAAGTTTTCTATCTAAGGAAAACCAGCAGATTGCATCAACTCATTGACTCAAAGGCAATCCCTCACACTAAGCATGCTTGTAGTGACCGTGGAGAGGAAAAACTCCCTTTTAACAGGAAGAAACCTCCAGCAGAACCAGGCTCAGTGTGAGCGGCCATCTGTCGAGGCGACTGGGGTTCAAGGAGACAGAAGCAGAGATACAAAAAGCAACTGGAAAAGGCAGCCCGGTCCAGGAAACACACAGCCATGCAGACAAGCTCGGAGCCAGCTCCCATGTCAGAGGATGAAGAGAGCTAATCCGGCCAGTCACAGTAAAAGAAACAGGACTACACTGGAAAAAACAGGCTGATCGCCAACATCTATAAACAGAGGTGTTGATGGAAGCAGCACAGCTGATATTTCTCTCCAGGATGGCGTCACAGCCAAACAGGACCAGATGAAGCTACTATGAGAAAAGGCAGAGAGAGCAGAACGTTAGAGATTAAACTAACAGATTCTGCAGAGTGGGAGAATAGAGAGAGAATGAAGCAGAATGATGAAATGGGGGTCCCTATGTCCTCCAGAAGTCTAAGCCTATAGCAGCATAACTATAGAGATAGCTCAGGATAACCTGAGCCACCCTAACTAGAAGCTTTATCAAAAAGGAAAGTTTTAAGCCTGGTCTTTAAAGTAGACAGTGTGTCTGCCTCACGGACTAAAACTGGTAGTTTTCACAACACATGTCATCTCAACGCACTTTACTGTTCAATCCATACGAATACGTCTGCACGCATCATCATTTATCAGCCATGTTTGCTTTACTCAGGAGGAGGATTCTGGATCCTCTCACAGAACCTTGAATAATGAGTTTTTCTAGCAACTGAAACAGTGAGAGAGAGAGTTATAAACTTTTATAACCATTATGAATCATTTAACCCTTTATAGGTCATTATAAATTTAGTCAAATTTCAATTCAAGTGTTATTGGAGCAAAAAACATGACTGTATTGTTGTTGTAACATAAAAAAAAGTATTTCCATTAAATTACCAAAAACATAAATTTTTCCTGATATGATCAAAAAGATTTAAAAGAATGCTATTATAAGAAATTGCTATTATAAGAACAGTGAAAGAAGCACATGATATTTTTTTACAGGAACTTCACTTAGTTATCTTTTAAGTTAGCTCATAAACTTTTAAAATTAGCTTTTTAACATTTTTCTTTAGATCATTAAGTTTTTAATTAAACTTGATAGTTTTGTTTTTAACTTAATTTATCGCAGGTATCATATAAAAAACAGTAGCTAAAATTAGATTATTGCGGTTTTTCAATAAAGAAGTTACACATAGCTTTCAGACAGAGTTGGACCTCGCAGAGCCTTTATACCACTTTTGACCTCAGGATCTGGCCTTGATTCCTGCAAAGTGATGTTTGTATCCAAGTTACCATTTTTGTTAACTTGGATGATAAAGAGTTAAACGCCATTTTTAAACATAACCCATCAACAGTAACCTGCATCCCTGTAACAGATAATTTGTTATTATCTGGGTCATTAGTAGTGTTGCGCCAATGCCAGTTTTTGGCCCCAATACCGGTGCCCGATACCAGGATGTGCAGTATCGTCCGATACCGAAACCATCTATTTGAAATTGATGTGTGTGTGTGTATATATATGAAGAACTGCATACTACTTGGATGTTAAATAATTGCCATCATGGCTTTGTCAAGCTGCTGCCTTCCTTTGTGAAGCAGAAAAAGACTAAAACAAAGTGAATCCAGTAGAACTTTTTATTGCCTACCTGGAATGGATGACAATAGTTGAATATAGAAATGGTATCAGTGCCCTATTTGTTGGTACTCGCCGATACCGATACCACCATTTTAGTGCTCGATCGGGGCTCCCACCCGATACTGGCATCAGTATCGGTGCAACACTAGTTATTAGTATTGTGTTCTTTGTAAGAAAAGCAGAGAAAACATCTGGGCTCCTCTTCCCTCCATTAAAGACATTTCATCCCAGCGCTGTGTGTCCCGAGCCCGTAACATCATAAATGACCCCTCACCCCCCCACCATGGACTGTTCTCCCTGCTGCCCTCGGGGAAGAGGCTTCGTAGCATCCGATGCAGGTCCAGCAGATTCCAGAACAGTTTTTTTCCCACTGCCATTAGACTGCTGAATGTTTTGTAAATGGGTTATAAAAAAAACCCCAAAACCCCGAATGTTAGAACTGTAACTCTACAGTCATATATTTACTTATTACTTGTGTTACTGTTTTTCATCACAATGTTTGTTTTTTTTAATCACTGCTGCTTACCTTATCAAGGCTGCACTTTAAAAAATGAAATCATCTAGAGAGCTGTTCTTAACAAAATTTATTTTTGTTTACAATTGGTTATACAAAATGACAAAATAAATCTAAGTCTAAAGTCTAAGTCTTGCGGTCCAAAGGGAACTCCCAGCAGTTCTCCTGATTCTTTTGGATCTTTTGGAGAGTCACTGTAGATCAGATTTGATAAACCAGTATGAGCAACTTTCATTTCAAACTAAGCTGGAAAACACCCTGTTATCCAGTCACCTGCGTTGACCAAGTGCAGCATCTGCAAACGGTCCAGAACTCAACTGAAGTCTGTTCTGGTGTCACTCCAGTTCTTCCACATCTTCATCTGCTGGTAGTTTAATTCAGGGTTAATCACAATAACCCTCCTCCTCTACCAAACATCAGTAGCTCTCTAAGTCCAGGGTCTTTGGACTGACCAGAACCTCTGTCTTGAAATTGGGCCTAAAGAAGCTGAAACCTTTTGGCTGTTTTAGATCTCTGAACAGTGATTGGATGAAAGGTTTGTGCAGAAAAACAACAGCAGGATGAAATCTGTCACATGTTTATTTACAGGGAAATCTGTCGGCACCAAGATGGTAGAAAACTGCATATGTACATAAGCAAAGACCTACTGGAACACAAGTTAAATAAAAACAATATATTTATAAGGACAGAACAGCTCTGGTTCTGAAACTGAAAAGTTTCTGATCTTTGGAAAGTTACGTCAAATCTGTGATTTATTTTTTCTGTTGACTGAAATTTAATGTTAGAGATGAGGTGAAAAAACATTAAAAATTATTGAGAAATCTGCTTAGAGTGTGTTTGAATAATAACTTTAAGTGGATTCTGGCTGGGAGATGTTCTGCAGGTTCTAGTAATCACATGTACATTTGGACCTTCATATCTCACCCATCCTTTCCTTCAGAACCATCATAGTTTAAATGGGTCATAGGAAGCTGGACCTGAACTGACCAGCTCTTTAATTTGATCCCTGTGTTTTACATTTAACATCTGAAAGTCTAAAGTCTCAGGATTGTTCAGCTCAAAGAGATGGCGGCTCTGCTCCCTCCTGCCTGTTCACCTTTCCATCAAAGCTTTTTGACTTTCATTCCAAAGGAGGTTTCAATCTAGTAAACGTTAATCAAAAATTTTCATATTTGTAAACTCAACAACTTGTTAACCAATTTAAAATACAATGGAAAGTTAACGATTTGATGAAAAGTTAATAATTTAATAAAAAGCTAATGTCTCCGTGAAAAGTTATTAAGGACTTAATAAAAAGTTAACAATGTGATAAAAAGACAATTACTCAATGAAAAGTTAATAATTTAATAAAAAGTTAACGTCTCAATGAAAAGTGATAGATTTGAAGAAAAGTTAAGGATTTGATAAAAAGATAACGACTCGATGAGCAGTTAAAGAGTTCATTAAAAGTTATGGACTTGATGAAAAGTTAAGGACTTCACAAAAAGTTAACAACTGGATGAAAAGGTAACGACTCGATGAAAAGGTAATGATTCGATTAAAAGGTAATGACTCGATGAAAAGGTAATGACTTGAGGAAAGTTAAGGACTTGATGAAAAGGTAATGACTCGATGAAAGGTAATGACTCGATGAAAAGGTAATGACTTGAGGAAAGTTAAGGACTTGATGAAAAGGTAATGACTCGATGAAAGGTAATGACTCGATGAAAAGTTAAGGACTTGATGAAAAGGTAATGACTCGATGAAAAGTTAAGGACTTGATGAAAAGGTAATGACTCGATGAAAAGTTAAGGACTCGATGAAAAGTTACGGACTTGATGAAGAGGTAATGACTCGATGAAAAGGTAATGACTCGATGAAAAGTTACGGACTTGATGAAAAGGTAATGACTCGATTAAAAGGTAAGGACTCAATGAAAAGGTAATGACTCGATTAAAAGGTAAGGACCCAATGAAAAGGTAATGACTCGATTAAAAGGTAAGGACCCAATGAAAAGGTAATGACTCGATGAAAAGTTAATGACTCGATGAAAAGTTAAGGACTTGATGAAAAGGTAATGACTCGATTAAAAGGTAAGGACTCAATGAAAAGGTAATGACTCGATTAAAAGGTAAGGACCCACTGAAAAGGTAATGACTTGATGAAATGTTAAGGACTCGATAAAAAGTTATATATACATGCACATCCCTGTGCTATTAAACATGTGCGAGAGCATCCACAAGCCCATGTCTCCTCGTGCACGCTCTGTTTAAAAGTTGCTGTTTGTATTGGGTATACAAGCTTTCTAAAAGGTTCGTAATTTTTCCACTATTTCAGACTCACCACTGGTAAATGAAGATGGGCACGAGCACGTAGGACGGCCTTATGTAAACATATCACCAGAATGAGTGACAATTGGGAAGAAAACCTATTTTGATGATCCACCAGGAAAAAATAACATCCTCCATTATAACTTTAAGGACTTGATGAAAAGATAATAACTTAATGAAAAGTAAAAGACTGGATGAAAAGGTAACGACTTGATACAATCGCCTGCTGTCAAACTTTATTCACTTTAAACTGTCTGTAGTTGGACTGATCAATTCTCTATTTCTGTAAATAATCTGCTTGTTTAGTAAACGATCTTGAGGTAATGGATCTCTTAATGTGGGAATCTTTTCATATCATTAATTCAGGTCAGATAACTGAGCATTCATCAACAGAAGCAGGTGCTTAAAAAGCAATATATTGGTAACCATGACAACATACATGGTTACATTACAGTCTTTGGTCACATGACAGTCACATCCCTGAATCTTTCCAGTGTAATCCAACATGTTTGGATATTTTTATCAGGACTGTGGTTTTCCTCTGAGATGTTCTCCAAACGTTCTGCAAACCCCTCCAGCCTTTTAGACAGGTTGCTCATAAACTTTGTTGTCGTTGTTGTTGTTGAGGGTCGAACATGAAACCCTGGTTAAAACGTTGATGAGTTGATTCTTCTACATCTCTTTCTTTCTGGAACCTTCTGGATTAACTAAAGGCAAAAACTGTTTTTGGAGAACCCTCCTCCAGGAGACTCTGGACCAGAGAATCCGTGCTTCTACACCGTAGCAGTGATGTTTGCCCATGAAGGGAAGGAGTCCAGAGAAAACAGGACCCTCCCCCAGCTGTTGATGGCCAGACTGATGCAGCCGAGCCCGATGATGTTCATCACCAAGCCAGTTTGAGCCTGCAGGAGGCGTAGTGCAAAGGGTTATCAGCACAGAGCTAATTTTGGTTTCTCACTGATGAGGAGGCACTCACCATGTCTGAGACTTTGAGGAAACCAGAGGAGAACACAATGGCATTGGGGGGCGTGGCCACCGGCAGCATGAAGGCGAAGGAGGCACTGAGGGTGCAGGGGATCATCACATACAGCGGGTTCAAGTGGATGGACTGAGACTGGGTCAGAGGACACAGACCGTTAAGGTTTTTATAGGGAAACAATTTACTTTACTGTATGCCAGGCATCCCCGAAGTCGGTCCTAGAGGGCAGCTGTCCTGCAGGTTTAGAGGTTCATCTGCTTTAGCACAGCTGATTCTGATGAATGCAGTTTAACAAAAGCCTGTCAATCAACTATCAATGCAAATCAGCTGTGCTGGAGCAGGGAAAACCCTAAAAGCTGCAGGAAAGTGGCCCTCGAGGACCGACTTAGGGGTTGCATGCTCTATGCTGATGATAAAGAGGTTAGAAGCCCAATTATGACTCTTTGGAAACTGATTGTTACCATGGAGGCAAGGATGGGCAGGAAGAGTGTTGCCGTGGCGACGTTGCTGGCGCACTCTGTGAAGGTAGCGATGAGAAGGCAGAGGATGATGGCGATGGCCCAAGGTGGGATAGAGTGAAGCGGCGTCATCTGAGCGCCGAGCCAGCGGGAGAGACCGGACTCCTGACGGAAATACAAAGATCAGGCCGATCAGAAGGTTTTCTCTTCCTGAAGCTCAGGTGTCAGAAGAAGAGATATTATTTATGGTTGGACAAAGAAGACAGGTGGTTTAAAAGTAGTGTGGAGGAACCTTTTTTACAGAGGAAAACCAACCTTAAACAGAGGGGGTGGACAATTCCTTCCCCCTATGATCTCAACCCCGATCCCCATGCAGGGGACCAAAACACCTCGCCAGGTCAGCCATGCAAACAATGCCCCTAACGGTTCCCCTTTCAGAGGCATAGACCAGTATCAGGTATTACAGGCTAACAAAAGATCTTAACGACTCCCCATTTCTAAGGGGCAAACCTGCTCCTCCGTTCAATTCGCATGTTTTCTAAACCAAAGCAAGGCTTTGTTTTTGGGCTACTCTATACAGCTTGGAACTCAACACTAATTCTGACATTTTGAATTGAAAAAAACTTCCTGGATAGGAAGTGAAATGTCTTGAACCTGGGAATCAAAGTCAAGTGGATTGTTTTTTAACTTTTTTGGAATAAATCAGAAACCCAGAGAAAAATGATTTTATTTATCCTCCTAATGTCTATTTTTTTCCATTTAGGAGCAAAAGTAAAGCTTGGCTAGAAACAAACTGTTCTAGAACAATTATACTGAATCCTGTTACTGGTCTTACAGAAGCATGGATGACCCAATGCAGATTAAACACAAATTCATCAACCAAAAAGTCCAAAGACTGAAACCTTCCCGTGTTTAAGAAAACAATAAAAAAAACATTTTCCATATGAGAAAAAATATTGGACATCTACGATGGGGTATTAGGGCCAGGCTAGACATTATTTTTTTTCTATTTCGAGAATAAAGTCGTAATATTATGAGAATGAAGTCATCATACCACAACCCATTCCAGAAAGAAACCTTTAAGCTCTGACAAGCAGATGACGGCCGACCAGCACGACCAATCAGCAACCTGAGTCAACTTTGACACCCTGAACAATTTGATGCTGGTGCTAAAAGATTTCCAAATTTGTGAAACCAGAGTCAAAGTATAACTTCACATAATGCTCAAAATTCCTCATTTTAGTGAAGAAAGTGCTTCTTGTAATAGTTGTCATGAAATACAACTTGTTTCTCCTTCTTTAGGACTTTATTCTCTTAATATTCCAACTTTATTCTCGTAAGTTTATGATGATTCTCGTTGTGACTTTTTTCTCTTAATATTACGTCTTTATTCTCATAATTTTACGAATTTATTTTCGTAATTTCACAAATTTATCCTCATGATTTTACAACTTTATTCTCATAATGTTATAACTTTATTCTCGTAATGTTACGACTTTATTCTCGTAATTTTATGACTATTCTCATTGTGACTTTTTTCCCGTAATATTATGTCTTTTTTCTCGTAATTTTACGAATTTATTCTTGTAATTTTACGATTTTATTCTCGTAATTTTATGACTATGCTCATTGTGACTTTTTTCTTGTAATATTACGAGTTTATTCTCGTAATTTTACGATTTTATTCTCATAATGTTGCGACTTTATTCTCCTAATAGAGGAAAAATCTCTAGCCTGGCCCAAATACTCTGTCATAGACATCATTAATCTCTCTGACATAATTATGATTATAATCCTAAAGGTATTCAGCCTTTCTTTACTTTATGAGGATAAATATTAGTTTATTCTTTTATCAGAGTTTCAGTTTTTTGATTTTTGCATGAAAACAAAGTGATGTTTCACCTCGCTGCCTTTAGCCAGAGCGAATCCTCCGCCCAGGAGGAAGACGATGTTCCAGGGCATCTTCTCCTGGGTCACCTGCCAGGTGAGCAGAGGAGGGGCGGGGCCTCTGGAGAGCTGGCTGTCTGATTGGACAAGGAAGAGTTCTAAATCTGTATAAACCCCATTGATCAGTGCAGTGTGAGTGTGTTTTACCGGAGTCGGAGCGCCTCCAGAAGCAGAGGTACCGCGGTGGCTCAGACGGAAGAATGAACAACAAAATGGCCACAAACAGCGAGACGGTAGCATCGGTGACAAACCTGCAGAAACACAAACAGCTTTGCTTAGCTCAGAATGAAAACTTTTCACATCTCCACTAAATCTGTGTGACCCACAGACCTCAGCAGCAGGTCAGAAATTGGGTCAAAAAGGCTGTGGGCCTCTGATGAACCCAGATCTGCTGCTGTCACGCTGCTGGGTTCATGAATGAAGGTTTCATCACAGACTCTCACTGTTTGCTCACACTCAGTGACCCGGACATTTCCAAACCGACCTCCACGTGGCAGCATCTCGTTTTACCGGATCTCCACAGTGTTTCCATTCATGTAGAAATGTTTTCTAGTTGAGCTCAGGATGGAAGCTTCACCTAAAACGGATCTATGCGACAGCAGCTGTTGTCAGAATCTGTCCTGATTCGGTTAGACTCTGCTAGATATGATGCACCTTTCTAATTGGTTTTGAAGTTGAAGGAGAAGGATGAAAAAGTGGGAGCATTATCATGATGATCGAGGAACTATCCAGAGAGTTTTACAATCCGTTCTGATGCAACATCCCAGGTTTCCCTGCAAAGCGTTGTGGACCCAAAGAGCGGCACAGATAACACATCCACTCCACCGTTTCCTGCAGCCAATAAGCTGCTGAGGTTCTTATGATGTTTGGTTCAGTGAAGCTGATGGTGGAGGTGCAGAAACCTCCTGTTCATTGAAGGGAATGTCATAGGGTTGAACTTAACCAGCAGAAACTTTAGTTTGAACTGTTATTTGATTCAATTCAATTCAGTTTATTTCTATACCGCCAATTCACAACACATGTCATCTCAAGGCACTTTACAGTTCACCAGATCATCCTGTCAAATTGATTCAAAGTTTTCTATCTAAGGGAAACCAGTTTATTGCATTGACTCATTGACTCAAATGCAATCCCTCACACTAAGCATGCTTGTAGCGACAGTGGAGAGGAAAAACTTCCTTTCTACAGGTAGAAACCTCCAGCAGAACCAGGCAGTGCAACTTTTATGTAAATAAGTAGAACCAAGAATACCTAGTTCTTATCTGAAACAGAATTATGATTCTTTTAACGCTGATCTTTTCTTTCTTTAATTCAAATTTCACTAGACGGGAACCAGGAAACTTTCTGGGTTTCTGGGTTGTGATTCAATCCTCGGTCATTTGTATGAATGGTGACGGGTGGTCTAGCATGGAGGGGGACTTTCTGTTGGTTCCAGTTACCATATCTGTAATTTAAACATGACGAAAAGGAACAGATGATTTTAGCATACTGCAAACTGCTAACCCAGCAGGAAGCAACTTCAGGGCCTAAAGATTTGGTTCTGGTCAGGATTGGTGGTCCAGCTGTTTTACTGAAAACATTCTTTCAGTTTAAAATATCAGTTTAGAAACCTTCATAACACTGAGAACCAAACTGGGTCCTTCAACCCTAAACAGGTAAGGAACCCTTGAGAAACAAGAAAATTCACTAACTTCTGCTTCGGATTTCATGTCTTTCTGTTTTCCAGCCTAAGATCCAGACTCTCCTGTAATAGTGGTTTAGTGGTTCTGATCAATCTGGAGGTGCAACCGGTTAGTTCTGATCCATCTCTTCTCCTGCACATAGAAAAGGGACTTCTACCCAGAAACACTGCAAAGTTTAGAGGAACCTTAAGAGTAATGAAATCCAGGCTAATTCCTTCAAGAGGAACTAGCTGAACTTTGACCTCAGCAGGTTTTTCTGAGTACCGTAGAAAATATGAAGCCCATAAAGCTGAAGCTAAAGGTAGCCTGTGGTTCTGAACATGTGGGTTCAGACAGCTGGGCATCTAGTTTGATCCGATTTTCTCTGTCAGAGTGGAGCATTAGGCCTCTGCTGTGTTTCTTCAGCTGAGGGCCACGGCAGGAGGTGCTGCATTCAGGGAATCCGACCCGTTTGTTTCTGCAATCTGAACCAAAGATGTTCTGGTCTGTCGGACCCTGCTGGGTTCTACAGCTGGACTGTAATGTCTGCTCTGATTGGCAGGAATTTTCCCATCAGCTCATGGTTCTTCTTGTACATTAAAAGCTGTAGATCTGATGTGAGCAAATCGTCTCCACACAAGCTTTTATTGTGAAATAATCCTCAGATTTTACCACAGAACAGTTGTGACACACGAGGCTGCTACAAACTACCAACTGGACTCCTTCTGAGTCTTTTATCTCTTCAAAGGAGGCCATAATTGTGCTTTCCTGGCAGAAGAGCTGTAGAGCTCTCCAGCTCCTCGAGAATCACCTTGGCCAATCCATATAGTCAGACGTCCATGTCTGGCTAGATTATCCACAGTAAATGGGGCCACAGTAAATAAATGGAGCCTAATTCAATTCCTGCCACACTTTTCAATTTATTATTATTTTTTTTTTAAATAATCAAGATTCTTTTTTTATGCCATTTAAAAAGAAACTGTGCCTCGTGGGCACTTAGAGCACAAACAGATCGAGTTTTAATCCAGGAATTTGTCCAAACTCAGGTCCTTTAAGGTCAGACGGACAACAGACTTGTGAAATTTAAACCCACAACCTGTCAGGGTTTGGAGCTGATGTCTTTCTATTTCAATGTTCTGTAGCCTGACTGCATTTTGTGTTTGTCCTCAAGTTTTCTCCTCCTATGGTTTGTTCGAATGTTCTGTTTGTTTTGGGTTATCCGTCATTTCCTCGGATGTTTTGGGTTTATTGGACAGTTCATGGCCTCTATCTTCTGACGGTTTGTTTGTCCTTTCCTCATATTTGACCCTGACCTGTCGAGATACTGCAGTCTACAGCTTTTAACCCCAACCCCCCCCCCCCCCCCCCCCCCCCCCCCCCCACCACTACCCCAGTGTTTTTCTTACCCAGTTGGTTGTTCAGGACGGAACCTCAGTCACAACTGAGAACTATAGGGATGGTTCCTTAGAAGATGTTTTAAGTTCTCTGAGCATTTACAACAAAATTTTGAGGCTCTGTCTGGTTTAACTGAATCTGGTAAAGAGACAATTTATGCAGAGTTGTATTATATAACTTAAGCTAGAGCCGCTAGTTGGACTTTGGCTGTTTGCTTACGCTAAGCTCTGTTAAATAGTTTTTGGGTCAAAGCCTTATGTCTCCTGAAGTCTCCTGGTCTGTCCTGCTGTCTCCCAGTGGTCTCTAATAATCCCATCACTCTGAGGAATAACCTTTATTGGGGAATTTGCGTCCTAATAAAGAGTCTGATAATCCCTTTGCGCCATCTCAGTCCAGTCAGTCCAGCGCCACTGGTGGAAGCTTGAACCCCGGACACGTTCCTTATGTTTGTTCCTCACCTCTGGTTCCTGTTTGTTCAGCTGGGTTCTGCCCTGAGGCGATCTCTCAGAGCTGAGCAGCAGTTTGGGTTCATTTGTTCCTCTGAACTCTGTTCAAGTTTTCCATCCGATCCTGGTTCTGGAGCGTCCCATTTATTCTGCACCAGGCTTCTCCTAATGGTGCTGTTCATTGGACTAATAAAGGAAAATCATTGGCAAGAATCAAACATGTTCCTGTTCCTCAGGAGTTTAATCAGACGATCTCACTAAATGCAGTGAAATGCACCTAAAGAGGAAGCTGCTGGTGTCTGAACCTGCCCTTTTCACCCCTTTAGATGTTCTCCTCATACTGTGGATGTCTTGTAGGGGCCTCTGGCCTAGTGGGTAGGGCATTGGCTTTGGAATCCAGAGCTTCTGAGTTCACGCCCCTACTTGAGCAAGACACTTAACCCCATTCTGATCTCCACAATTGCTGCCCACTGCTCCCAAAGGGAATGGTTTAAATGCAGAGTTCATTTCCTTGCTCTGTACTTGTTACAGTTTAATGACAAAAAAAAGCTGAAAATAAAAATAAGTTGAAAACCTTGAAGGTCCAACCTGGTCCTCTGATATCTTCTGTCAGACCAACAGCCTCCTATGGACAGACCAGTCTATAGGAGGCCACTGAGAAGCTGAATGAATTCTCTATCCTGCTTCATCCTGGATCCAGGAGGGTTCGCTGGTTACTGTCTTCTGGTTATACTATCCTGGATCTTTTAATCTGATTTAAGTCTGGGGACCAGGTTGTCATGGAAACTTGCTCATGGTCCAGCGGAGAAGCTGTATACTGTATGTTGGACTGGGAGCAATGGATCAGAGCTTCATCTATTATCTAGACTTCACCAGCGGTTCTGAGACTTGGATCAGGACTGGAAGAACCAGAACCTAAACACCAGTTGATGAAATGACTTCCTCTTTGGCAGCACACAGACCAAAACCAAATGGACTTTAAAAAATGTGAACATCTATGACTGATCAGGGGTCACATGAACCAGTGTTGCTACACAGATCAATTGAACCGAACAAGGCCATAAACTGTTAAAGCAGCAGGCACTCACTCAGCCTTGGCGTTGAAGACATGGGTGGCCCAGCCATCCATGAACCGCGGGTCTCTTGTGAACCACAGCACCACCATGAGGAAGAAGAGTGCCAGGACGCTGGTCTCTCCGTAGCTCATGGGTCCCATGCTGCGGTATTCCTCCCTGATCACATCGTACGCAGCCGTCTCCTTCGGGGACCGGGCTGAGCCGCAGCCCCAGGTCCTCTTCAGGCTGCAGACAAACAGAACCGAGTTTAGAAGATTTGGAACCAAGATGGGCAGCTTGTCTGTTTTGGAGGGACTGACTTGCAGCCGATGTAGAGGAACTGCAGCCAGAACCAGGCCAGCGTCAGCATCAAAACCATGGTGGGGAAGGCGAAAACGAACCAAGAGGCGAAGTTGATCACATCACCATTTTGAGGAAAGAGTCTGAGGAGCAGAGAGAGGAAGAAATGAGCCAATCATCTGCTGTGATGAAGAGAAGCCTTCGCCCTGCTGCTGAGTCAGCAGAGGTCAGATGGTCTCAGTCAGGAGCAGCTTGTCCAGCATAAACCAGAATGAATGTTACTGAGTGACTACAGGTGGAAAACTGGACCTAGTTTGAATCTAACCAGCAGCCTGTAGTTTCAGATGCTGGTTTAACTGGTCCATATGGAGCCAAGAAACATTTTGCTGTTAGGATGTTTGAGCTGCTCACTGAGGTTTCATTTGACCTGAATTCAGCAGGATTCCCGGGTTCACAGCCATCAGACCAGAGTTAGAGTGTCAGTACTTACTGACTCATTTGTCCGATAAGAACCAGGTTGGGCCCAGTTCCTGTCAGGGTGGCGATGCCTCCTATGCTTGCGGCGTAGCACACACATAGCAGTAGACCTTTATTCATCCTCTTCGTCTCCTCTTCTTCTTCACTCAGCTCCTCCAGCTCCATCTGAGGTCCAGCGAGGCTGTTCTCCACCACCACGACCACTGAGCACAAACAGGCATTCATTTCAGATGCTTCTCATTGGTCTTATCAAGCGTCTTAGCTGCTGTCAAATTTAAAAAGAAATGCAGAAACCAAAGATCCCCAAAATTCAGTTCCTGTATTTGTTTCTCATTTGACAAATACAGCTTTCTTTAATCTGTTTCAGAGCAAGAGGCGGCAATCTGCTGCGCTATCAGAAGCTCATTGGATGAAGCACATTTATAAAAAACAAAAACTCTAATAAACTTGCTTCTGTTTCGGACAAAAAAAATTGTTATTAGAAAATTATGTTTCTTCTTTCCACTAATCTTGCCTGAGTTTAGCAAGCAATTGTCTTTTGTTTCAGTTCAATAAAAACCCTGAAAACCTACCTATTCATTAATAGTTTACCATATTTATCACATTGCTCTCCACCATCTTTTATACAGTTCTTCCACACCATTTATCTATTTGTTTATTTGTCAGGGAAAATACACATTAATGAAAATCGCTGTAAATGTACCAGCAGCTATTTTTTATCTGATGTTGACAGTCATCCTAAAAACAAGCATTTAATTAAAATGCATAAAACATAACGCTAAAACACATAATATAAAAACATACATCCTTTTTTCTGTCACGCTTATCCCAAGCGGGGCCGTGATCGGTGCTGGTGCCTATCTCCAGCTGTCTAGGGACAAGAGGGTACACCCTGGAGAGGTCGCCATATGGATATAGGTATAAAGAACTGAATCATCAGCGTACATGTGTGTGTACATATTTGGTCAAACGAGCTTAAGCAGAAAATAACAAAGGTCCTAAAATCACGCCCTGGGGTACTCCTGTATTAAGACAGAGAGAGGGTCTGATAGTTAGTGATTCTTACAGACCTATTGGACAAGTTTATATACATACATTTTTATATACTTAAACAGATTTATAACATCACTTCATTAAACCTCACCTGCTAATGTTATATATACACTATATTGCCAAAAGTATTTGCTCACCTGCCTTGACTCACATATGAGCTTAAGTGACATCCCGTTCCTAATCCATAGGGTTCAATATGACGTCGGTCCACCCTTTGCAGCTAGAACAGCTTCAACTCTTCTGGGAAGGCTGTCCACAAGGTTTAGGAGTGTGTTTATGGGAATTTTTGACCATTCTTCCAGAAGCGCATTTGTGAGGTCGCACACTAATGTTGGACGAGAAGGCCTGGCTCTCAGTCTCCGCTCTAATTCATCCCAAAGGTGTTCTATCGGGTTGAGGTCAGGACTCTGTGCAGGCCAGTCAAGTTCATCCACACCAGACTCTGTCATCCATGTCTTTATGGACCTTGCTTTGTGCACTGGTGCACAGTCATGTTGGAAGAGGAAGGGGCCAGCTCCAAACTGTTCCCACAAAGTTGGGAGCATGGAATTGTCCAAAATGTCTTGGTATGCTGAAGCATTCAGAGTTCCTTTCCTTGGAACTAAGGGGCCAAGCCCAGCTCCTGAAAAACAACCCCACACCATAATCCCCCCTTCACCAAACTTTACACTTGGCACAATGCAGTCAGACAAGTACCGTTCTCCTGGCAACCGCCAAACCCAGACCCGTCCATCAGATTGCCAGATGGAGAAGCGCGATTCGTCACTCCAGAGAACGCGTCTCCACTGCTCTAGAGTCCAGTGGCGGCGTGCTTTACACCACCGCATCCGACGCTTTGCATTGCACTTGGTGATGTATGGCTTGGATGCAGCTGCTCGACCATGGAAACCCATTCCATGAAGCTCTCTGCGCACTGTTCTTGAGCTAATCTGAAGGCCACATGAAGTTTGGAGGTCTGTAGTGATTGACTCTGCAGAAAGTTGGCGACCTCTTCGCACTATGCGCTTCAGCATCCGCTGACCCCGCTCCGTCAGTTTACGTGGCCTACCACTTCGTGGCTGAGTTGCTGTCGTTCCCAAACACTTCCATTTTCTTATAATACAGCTGACAGTTGACTGTGGAATATTTAGGAGCGAGGAAATTTCACGACTGGATTTGTTGCACAGGTGGCATCCTATCACAGTTCCACGCTGGAATTCACTGAGCTCCTGAGAGCGACCCATTCTTTCACAAATGTTTGTAAAAACAGTCTGCATGCCTAGGTGCTTGAATTTATACACCTGTGGCCATGGAAGTGATTGGAACACCTGATTCCAATAATTTGGATGGGTGAGCAAATACTTTTGGCAATATAGTGTATTATATAGTCTCCATATCTGTTTGGTTAACTCTTTATATTTTATATTTTCCATTTGATTTTCTGTGTATATATTATAATTTATATACTCTTTATGTCTTTCTTTTGACGAGAGCTTTGGACACGATTTCCAATGTGTCTGTACTAGTCTGTAACAAATGGCTAATAAAAAATCTTGGATCTTCTGAGGTTCCTGGAACTAAACTACTTAAAAACTGACATTCATAAAGCAGATAATAACAGCTTGTTAGATCTGTGACCATCAAATGGCCTAATTGAAGATGATAAAGCTCCCTCACACTGCAGAGTTAGCTATGGAGATCCACAGGGCTCTGTGTGCGGTCCAAGTCTGTTGTTATGCTGATGATACTTTGCTGTAATTATATTTCAATCTTAACAAACCAAATCACTGCAGAAGAGAACAGGCATGTCTTTAAGAAATGAAACATCGGATAACTTTTAATGCTCTTCATATAAACTAGAAGAACATTAAAACTCCTCTGTGTGATATTTACCTCAAACACGAACTAATCCTTGACAAGGAAATACCCAATTCCACTCTCATCCCTTAATTAACCTCGATACCTTTCAATCAGTTTTAAAAGAAAAAATGCCATTGTTCTTGAACAGTTTTTGCTGCTTAGAACATAGATAGATTCAATGCGGCAGAGGAAACCCTTCATGTTTTGAGCCTGATCCCATTAATTTCCACCTGTTTGAGCTCACCTGGACTGCTGCTGTCCGATGGAGGCTTGTCCTGTGGTGTCGGTTTGACAGCCTCCTGATTGCCTGTTGGATGCTCGGATATCCCCTCCTGCCCAGGCGATTTGATGTTTTCTGGGTCGATTACTTCTTCTGGTTTACTGTTACCAATGCTTGGGTTCATATCTAAAACCAACCAAAGTAGAATACCATTTTTTCAAATAAGTCCAAAAAATAGGGCATGGCTACATACTGAGCTCCCATCATCAACTGCATTGGTATTTCTGAAAACCATGCCCCTAAAATTCAAAATGACTCTGCTGTGTCTGTGTCGTACCTTTGTTTAGGATGTTTGGGGGAGGCCTTTGCTTGACCTTGCTAGTTTTCTGCTGATCCTCCTGCTGCACAGCCACAGTCCTGCTCTGGATCTTCACCACCTCGACTGGAACATTGACCTTTTCGCCGTTGCCTTGGAGCTGCTGAAGCACGGCCTGGACGATGGGGACCATCATGGCGGTTGTGGCTGTGTTGCTGATCCACATGGACAGGAACGCCGTCACTCCCATGAACCCCAGCATCAAGCTGAAGATGTAGGAAAATGGGTTTTATCCACTGGTTTGGGTTCTAAGCTTTAGAATTGAGTCACTGGTCCTCATTGGATCAGAACTCGTATCATCAACAACTCACAGGGCAGGCTGGACTCCGACCAGCAGCAGGACTCTGAGTGCAATCCGCTTGTGGAGGTTCCAGCGCTCCACAGCCACGGCCACCATCAGCCCCCCCACAAACAGCATGTTAGTGTCCTTCAGGTACTGCATGCACACCTAAGTTCATAGCATACAGGTGAGACAACAGGCAAACAACAGTGTTTCAGCATTGGAGTGTTTGTCCATCCTTACATCTTTGGACTCCATTATGCCGAGGACTGGGAACAAGATGGTTGGTAGCAGCGCAGTCACCGCCAGCGGTAAAACCTCAGTGCACCAATAAACTGCCATCAGGGCAATGACATAGGCACAGGCTGCTTCCTGCACACACCAATGCAGACAGTCAGCTCTTTACATTTCAGTGCACATGGAGGCTTTACACCTCAGAACTTTCCTCCCTTTAGTTTTTCCATGTTTAAGGTGTTGACCCCAGAGAGATCCCTAAGGTTTGGCTATAAATTCTCTAATACAGTTTTGGTCCATTTTCTGAGTTTGAACACAGTCCAAATACAACCAGAGAGATTTTCTGTTTGCATGTAAGTAATGAAGTGAAAGGAATCAGTGACACAGACATGACGTCTTAGTCGGGCCGTAGATGTTTTCCCTCCTCTGTTTAGAGGGGCATAGCTACAGTCGGAAAAATGTCACTGGGTGATGTACGTGCATGAAGATGAGGTGAAATGGAGCGTGAAATCCTCCAAACACAATTCCCCTGTTTTTATTAACCTGGTCTCACACATAGGAACCTGCCTATAGCTACAATTACTGCAGAGCAAGGCTGTTGCAAGTCTGGAACCAAAATACTCTAAACAAATCTTTAAATAAATAATAATAATTTAATACTTTACACCATCCAAAAGCAGGGGGGTCTGCTCATTTGAAGATGTAGCTGAAGTAAGCAGACCTGCTTCCAGGCCTGAGTGTAAGAAATTGTATGGTCATGTTCTCTGCCATGCGGTTGGATGTATGATCCAAATGGTCCAACACATATTTTACTTTCACAATGGTCATTTGGTTCTTTCCCTTCTCAATAAAACATAAAAAAAATTATCTCAAACTGATGCTTTTAATATTCCTGGCATCTGTAAACAAAACAATGAAAGTATTTCTGTTTGTTGACTTGTTTCCACCCGGACTGAAGCTTCTGAGGTTTTTTTTAAGATGTTTCTCTCGGCTGTTTTCCCAGAAATGATTTTCTCTTAATCTCCTGACCTTTTCCAACAAATCTATCTGCGTTTGTCAATCAGTGACTTGAAGTTGTGAATGAAAACAAGCCGCTGCTGCACATCAACAGGAGTTACTGATCAATGGGAGCCAACAGCAGGTCCAAGGCCTCCTGTATGCGCCCGCTCCCAGGCGTCCAGTCAGGAGGAAAGGATGTCTCATCTACAGTTTTTATTTATTAACCTTTATTCCAGCTTACAGGTGGCATTTTCAATGTGAACATCCATCCATCAGAACATCTGCAGTGGTTTGTCCTCTAGATGTTTTCGGAACATTCAGCCAGAGCAGCTGTAGCAGAAAACATTTTCAGTTCAGACTTTAGGGTCAGAATGTAATTTTCCATGTTTGCTGAACAGCAGATAAGAAGGAGGTGGTCCAAGTTTGGCCTTATATATAAAGGGGGTCAATAATCCATGGCTGACCCATGAGGTGCAGCCAGGTTCTGTCCATAGCAGGCACAGAGCCTGTTAGAAGCTCTCTGATGAACAGCCTCCACTGAATGAAGACATGAAATGTTTCTCTGAGACAGCAGAGGATCTTAAAATAAAATCCAGCTTATCTGCAGCTTCATTACCAGCTTCTAAACATGAAGTCCAAAGAACAAGGAACCAGAACTGTTCACATTGTAAATGACAGCTGATCCTTCACATCCAACTGGATCTAGAACAAGTGAAACATGAACTGATTGGAACTGATTAGGAGCCGGACCAGAATCAACCACTGGAACATTTACATATAGAATATTTATATTTGTGGCAAAGAAACCAAATGTTCTTGTGATTTATGGACGAGAGTTGCTCCAGTGGCAATAAATCAAAATTGTAACTCATCATGGATCATTGTGACTTGATTTCAATAATGCTGGAATATATTTCTCTGATGTGGTCTCAAACATCGGAATGAGTTGTCTCACTGTGAAGGCAGAACCTACTATGTAGTACTGGTTCAGTTAAACCAGTTAACTGTTCAGACTGTTTAACCAAACTGGTCAGTATACTGGTTTTATTGACCTAACCTAGACTAGTTTTCTCTTCATATAAACTGGTCAGCTTAATAAACTGACTGGTTTACCTTTCCTCTTAATGGTCATTGTGATAATTTGATGAATAACAAATAGCGTTAATACTGGTTTATTAAACCAACCAGTCTACACCAAAGTGTAGCCTTTCTAGTTTTTCTACTTTCTGTAAGTTCAATCAAACGGATCAGTATACTGGGCTACTCGACTGGTTACTACTATTTACTGAAGATGTCAATTTAATGGTTGAACTGGTTAATCGACCAGTAATCATCTCACTTGTTGACTACACGGTACAGTAGATGACTTACTAAAGCTGAACCGGTCACACTGATTATTTTACAAGTGTAGCCAGTGTAAACCAGTTAGACGAAAGTTTACTAATACTAATAATCAGTTTTGTGACTCATTAGATAAACTGGTTTAACTAGTCAAATTATTTCTGTATTACAAATTAAACAGCTTAGAGAAAATATAGGTTTTCTCTGGTCGATATGTTAAACTGGTCAGAGTAAAATTGGTCTTGCAGTTAAACTGGTCTGTCAGTTTATTTTTCTGTTAGTTAACTGGTTAAGTGTTAAATTGGTACGCTAGTTAAATTGATATGTTTGTTAAACTGGTCAGTCAGTTAAACTGGTCTGTTAGTTAAATTTGTCTGTTGGTTAAACTGGTCTATCAGCTAAACTAGACCTTTGGTGGAGGTAGTCAATTAAAATCTGGTCTGTCAATTAAATTGATCTATAGGTGAAACTGTTCTATTTGTGAAACTGGTCTGTTATTTAAATTGATCTAACAGTTAAACTAGTCAGTTATTTAACTGAGGTATGGGTTAAACTGGTCAGTTATTAAACAGTTCCGTCAGTTAAATTGGTCTGTTAGTTAACGGGTCTGTTGGTTAAACTGGTCAGTTATTAAACTGGTCCATCAGTTAAATTGGTCTGTTAGTTAACGGGTCTGTTGGTTAAACTGGTCAGTTATTAAACTGGTCCATCAGTTAAATTGGTCTGTTCGTTAACGGGTCTGTTGGTTAAACTGGTCAGTTATTAAACTGGTCCATCAGTTAAATTGGTCTGTTCGTTAACGGGTCTGTTGGTTAAACTGGTCAGTTATTAAACTGGTCGGTTGGTTAAACGGCTCTCTTGCCAAGCTGGTTGATTGGTCAAAGTTTCCTTTTAATAAACTGGTCTAGTGATTAAACTGGTCTATCGTTCAAACTGCTCAGTTACCAAACTGATGCATTGGTCAAACAGGTCTGTTTATGTGGCTCTGGTCCTACCTTGGTGCTGAGGGCGAGTGGCAGCAGGATGAAAGGGCTGCAGATAAGGACAATGAGTCCCTTCAACCTCCAGACTTGCTGGAGCATTCTGACCCACAAAGGTAGAACCGACATGGAGAGACGAAGATGAAGAATAACTCAAGATGATTCTGTCAGGAGGTAGTAGAACGGATTGGGTCTTTCACTCTGACTGCTCTGCAGCTCTCCCAACACAATTGGGATGCATTTCACAGCCGGCACTAAATATTAACTTTATGCCCCCCCTCCCCACCCGGGGATACATACTGTGCCCCTGCAGACTTTATCTCAGCAGAACAAACAGAAGAGGAAATCAGAGTGTTTTGCGTCATGTTTTATCTACTGGCTCAACTGCTGCTCTTCACCCTAAAGTTCAGCACATTCAGCTGGTGGACTCCAAGCTGCTGTTAGAAAGTGAATGAAAACATTTCCTGCTGCTGAGAGGCAGGCTGGGTTAAAAAAAAAAAAAAAAAAAAAAGCGAAACTATTCTCAGCTCAGACAGTCCAGCTGGGAACTTTTAGTTCAGTTCAATTTTAATATACTTTGTTAATCCCAAAGTAAAAAAATAAATGTTTTCGTAACTCAAGTTTTCTTTTTATTGAGTTGTTGTAGGTGTTGATAGCTTTAGGCAGGAAGGATCCTCTGTAGTGGTCTGTCTTGCACCGGATCTGAAGAAGCCTCTGACTGAAAACACTCTGCTGGTGTTTAACAGTTTGATGAAGATGATGCTCACTGAGTCCATAATTTTCTTCATTTCATCAAGAATTAATCTTTGAGAACTCATTTGAGGAGTTTCTAGAACAGAGTTGACCTTTATCAGCTTGTTGAGCTTCTTTCAGTCATTGTCTCTGATTATGTTAACCCAGCAGATGATGGAGGAAGAGATCACACTCTACACAACAGATGGTATTTCTGCAGATGACAGGACTCTGTCTGGTACTGGAAGTCAGACGTCTACTGAGTAAAAAGGAATGGAGAGAGTAGCGTCCTCTGTGGTGCTCCTATGCTGATGAATACTTGATTAAATAGCAGACCCTTTCAGTCTTACAAACTTTCGTCTGTTTGTTAGGTAGTCTTGGATCCGGGCAATTGTTGATGCCTCCAACTGAGTCTTCTGAAGTTTCTGACAAAGTTAGTCAGGCTGATTGTTGTTAAGACAGCACAGACAGCACTGTCTGACTTGTCTAAATGACAGGGGGATTGTTAAAGCACGTGTATGATGGCATCTTAAATTCCAATCTCAGGATGTCAGGGCAACAGGTCTACAGTCATTGAGGACTGTTGGCTGAGTCTTCTTTGGTACTGGACCAAGGCAGGAGGTCTTTCACATCTGTGGAACTGTCTCCTGTGTCAGGCTAAGGTTGAAGAGTTTCTGTAGAATCCCAGAGAGCTGCTCTGCACAGGCCTTTTGGACTCTGGAGCTGACACCACCAGGAACTGGGGACTTATTACAATCCAGTCTCTACATCTGCTGCTTCATTTGACTTCTAGAGACAGACAAACGAACGGTGGAGGGAGCAGCATCATCTTCCAATTTGGCTGAGAAAAAACTCATAGAAGTGGGAGAGTCAGTGGCAGACAGAAGGGTATACAGGTGCTGGTCATAAAATTAGAATATCATGAAAAAGTAGATTGATTTCAGTAATTCCATTTAAAAAGTGAAACTTGTATATTATATTCATACATTACATACAAACTCATATATTTCAGATGTTTATTTTGTTTAATTTTGATGATTACAAATGACAACAAATGAAAATCTCAAATTCATCATATCAGAAAATTAGAATATTACTGAAGACCAATAAAAACAAAGGATTTATAGAAATGTTGGCCAACTGAAAAGTATGAACATGAAAAGTATGAGCATGTACAGCACTCAGTATTTAGTTGGGCCTCCTTTGGCCTGTATTACTGCAGCAATGCGGCGTGGCATGGAGTCGATCAGTCTGTGGCACTGCTCAGGTGTTATGATAGCCCAGGTTGCTCTAATAGTGGCTTTTAGCTCTTCTGAATTGTTGGGTCTGGTGTATTGCATCTTCTTCTTCACAATACCCCATAGATTTTCTATGGGGTTAAGGTCAGGAGAGTTTGCTGGCCAATTAAGAACAGGGATACCATGGTCCTTCAACCAGGTACTGGTAGCTTTGGCACTGTGTGCAGGTGCCAAGTCCTGTTGGAAAATGAAATCTGCATCTCCAAAAAGTTGGTCAGCTGCAGGAAGCATGAAGTGCTCTAAAACTTCCTGGTAAGTGGCTGCGTTGACCCTGGACCTCAGAAAACACAATGGACCAACACCAGCAGATGACATGGCACCCCAAACCATCACTGACTGTGGAAACTTTACACTGGACTTCAAGCAACGTGGATGAAGTGCCTCTCTTCTTTTCCTCCAGACTCTGGGACCTTGATTTCCAAAGGAAATGCAAAATTTACTTTCATCAGAGAACATGACTTTGGACCACTCACCAGCAGTCCAGTCCTGTTTCTCTTTAGACGCTTCTGACGCTGTCTGTGGTTCAAGAGTGGCTTGACACAAGGAATGCGACAGCAGAAACCCATGTCTTTCATACGTCTGTGTGTGGTGGTTCTTGAAGCACTCACTCCAGCTGCAGTCCACTCTTTGTGAATCTCCCCCACATTTTTGAATGGGTTTTGTTTCACAATCCTCTCCAGGGTGCGGTTATCTCTCTTGCTTGTACACTTTTTTCGACCACATCTTTTCCTTCCCTTCGCCTCTCTATTAATGTGCTTGGACACTGAGCTCTGTGAACAGCCAGCCTGTTTAGCGATGACCTTTTGTGTCTTGCCCTCCTTGTGCAAGGTGTCGATGGTCGTCTTTTGGACAACTGTCAAGTCAGCAGTCTTCCCCATGATTGTGTAGCCTATAGAACTAGACTGAAAGACCATTTAAAGGCTTTTGCAGGTGGTTTGAGTTAATTAGCTGATTAGAGTGTGGCACCAGGGGCCATCAATTTTTAACCTTTTCACAATATTCTAATTTTCTGATATGATGAATTTGAGATTTTCATTTGTTGTCATTTGTAATCATCAAAATTAAACAAAATAAACATCTGAAATATATGAGTTTGTATGTAATGTATGAATATAATATACAAGTTTCACTTTTTAAATGGAATTACTGAAATCAATCTACTTTTTCATGATATTCTAATTTTATGACCAGCACCTGTATGTCCATATGACTGTGGACAAGAGAGAAGGATGCCGAGCTTGTTCCTGAACTGAATAGGTTGAATAATGTATTCAGTTCATAGGCTCTGTCCAAGCTTCCATCTGTGTCATCATCTTTCTGCTTGAAACCTGTGATCTTCTTCATCCGTGACCACACATCTCTGATATTGCTCTGCTGGAGCTTTTTTTCAAGCCTCTTCCCCCTTGCTTTCTCTCATCTTGACCTTAAATTGGTTTTGTATACTCCCTGTCAGCAGTTCCCTTTCTCCCTTCCTGAAGTCTAATTTTTCTTGTTAAGTCAGTCTATCAGATCACTGGTGATGCATGGTTTATTTTAAAGCATTTCACTGTTCTGGTAGGGATTGTGTTATCTAAACAGACGTTTATGTAGTCAGTCACACACTTAGGTGTTGCACTGATGCACTCTCTATGTGGCTGAAACAGTACATCCGTGCCTCAAGACAACATGTCATTGTTATGATCTGGCCTCAATTGGATATTTCTGCCATTTTCCCTTCCTGCCTCAATTATAATTTATTCCTCTCACCTGTTTCCTCTGGGTTATATTCTGTTCAGCCTGAGCATTCGGGGCCAGATCACTATTTGTCTTTCTGTTAGTCTGTTTATTTGTTTTCAGTTAGTCGTTCTGTTCAGTCTGTTTATTTCAAGGTTCATGTCCTGGATCCTGGCAGCCAGTGGAAAGAGGGTTTTTGTGTCTGTCTCGTCTCCTGCTCGTCCACTGTTCCTCCCCTGATGAGCCCTCTGGGTTTTTGGCTCTGTACGCGGGGAGGATCAGTTTTTATCCAAGTACGCCTGGCTCCAAGGAGGAGACCAGTTTAAAGGTCCTGCATCAAGTTCTGGTTTCACGTCCTGTCTCGGCTACCCTCTGCCACTGAGCCTGGTCATCTGCACCTGATCCTGTCTGCTCCTGTGCGTGACTGTTTGGCCACGCTTCTGAACTCAGTCAGACTCCAAACCTGTCTCCTCTGGAGCTGCCACACCGGGGACACTCTGGGTGACGCGAACCGCGTCAGCTGTTAGCTCATTGGCTGGATTGCACCCCCTTTAAGGGGTATGGATCGAACTGCTAAACCAGGTAAGTGACTCACAGAGATCATCATCTACAGTCAGATGATCGTGGTCACTTATCTGTGTTTCTCCCACAGAGTGTCAGAGATTGGGCGGTGCCCCGCCCCCCTCCTGCAATGTCCGCGACCCACAGCTCTACTTTAGTTTTGTTTATTTAATAAATATTTTAGAAATTTCCTACTGACTGTCTCTCCTTGAATACTGGGTCCATCTGTCCGTGTCTCATGACAGTCATGGCTTCTTACCATTCTCTTTGATGTAGGTTGTCTCTTATAAAGTGGCTCATATGCTTTTATGGCTGCAGCCATGTTTCAGTAAAACATATAGCACATTCCTCATATTCTGGCTGGGTTCTTGGTAGTGCATGGAGTTCCTCTAAATTGTTTGCTAAAGATCTCATGTTGCCCTTAATGACTGTTGAAAGAGCTAATTTCCCGCTCCTGTCTCGATTTCTCACTCCTGCTTTGCGTCCCCTGATTTCCTTTTCAACTCAGCTGAGACTTGTGGAAGTAGTTAAAGTACTTTTCAGCTTTTAGATGCTAATGGTCACCTCCTAGGTGTAAAACAATAAGTGGTTGTTGTGTAAAGTATCAAAGCAAATGTCCAAAAATGAAAAGATATTGGAAAAAAATCCTATTAGCTGCACAGAATCCAACAACAGAGTTAACCATGATCTAAAGACAGTGGAACTGTATACTAACAGAGCATGTCACTCTCAATGGGCAGGTTTACTAGAGGTTCCTAGAATTTCTAAAAGTAAAATGGGAGGCTGATCTTTTAGTTATCTGGCTCATGTAATGTGGAAGGCAGACACCTAGTCTACTTTTAGGACCAGGCTTAAAAACTACCTTTTTGGAAAAGCTTATAGTTAAAGTGGCTCAGGTTATTCTGAGCTATACTGCTATAGGCTTAGACTGCTGGAGGACATAGG